CAGAGGCCCTCCCGGTCGCCCTGCTGTATTGCCCCTAGGTCGAGGCTAGTCTTTTTGGCAGGAATATTCATTGAGAAATTTGACGTAAACAAGTACGCCAAAGTTCGAAAGCTGTTGATGCAACCGGCTGGTAGGTTACCAAACCACCGCTGGGCTATGCCCTTGAGGGTAGCCGGGAAGCATCGACACCAGACGACATCCTCTAACCCCTGAAGGTACATGAGGTTAGAGTAGGCCATTAGATGGTCTTCTGGGTTGGTGGTGCCGTCATAGGCCCCCACCAAAACATTCTTGATCTTAGGCGGCTGTGCCGCCTGGGTTATCTCGGGTGAGAACGCCGTTGGCTGTTCCCCCAAATTTAGCAGGCGCAGCTGCCAGTCCGTGGGTTGGTACGGCTGCTGCGCTTGCCCACCGAAAAGACCCGGTGACATAAAAGGGGATCCACCCAACCCATTCGGTGTGCCGAATAAGCCAGGCTGGATCACTTTGGGTCCAGACCGGGCAGAAGCTTCGCCCGTCTGGCTCCCAGGGTTCGTTCCCGTACGCCTGTGTGAGACGTCATGGAAACTGTCCGGGAAGGTCGACGTTGAGGCCGACGCAGACGCCTGACCTCGCTTCTCTTGGAGAAATGTGCGGGCGTCTGAGAATGTTTTCTTGGAGCCATCCGGCTGTACGTGCCGGATGGCCTTTCGCAGCTCCCCTTGAGGAAAACGGAGTCTGCTTGGATCAAACCTTAAGCCCTCCCCCTCCTTTGGCTTGGGATGAGGGGTAGGAACTCGTTCTTTGACCACCTTCTTTCCAGAAGGCTTCTTGGCCGGCTGACCCTTCTTTGGAGTAGCTGACCGGATGAGGCTCTTGATCTCACCCTTGAAACTATTCATGAAAGACATGAGTTCGTTTCTTGTAACGGGAGCTGAGCCCTCCACCGTCTGGGCAATTCCAGCCGGTTGCCCGGCTGGGTTGCTGGGAGCAGCTTGGCTGATTTCCCGTTCTCTTCTATCTTTAGCACGAGGGTGCTTCGTTCTGAAAGACCCATCCGGGGCCACATATGTTTCAATTTCGTCTCCACTTTCATGGTCCGTCTGGACCTCAGGCTCGACCACAGGCCGTTTGCCCTGATTCGGTGACACAGTATCAGAAGTCATCTTAGAAGTACTCTCCCCACAGACGGCGCCAAATGTTTCGGGGTTTTTTGATGTGTCCTGCGGGAGAGTTACAATTCCAAGAATGCCCTTCGACGCCTGTGCCTGCAAAATCACGAAGACTCCTGGAAGTAGGAGCTCCGCCTCCGACGATCAAGTTAGTAAAGATACGGGAGGTAGGATGCACGTAATGTAGAAGTTACTTCTCGCGTAATGGGAGAATTCCGCAATTAATATTGCTCGGGGGAAGTGTTTTTCTTTTTGAGGAGTATTCAATGTGAATAATAAATGCTCCGCCCCCCATTAATGAGGGTCCTTCCACTATTTATAGTGGGGAAGGGATGGTTCTCCTTTTAGGGTTTAGAGGACACGTGTCAGCAGAGGATTGGAGCCCTGCTGACCAACGGCTGGATGCCACGTGTCACTAGGCCATTGGGCCACGTGTTTAGGGTATTTTTACCCCAAACAAACACCACCACCGCAACAACCTCTGACAACACCAACACCGAAAACAGATCTACATTTAATTTTGGTTAGAATTAGATCTAGTTTTATTTTGTTCAAATTTTCAATGTATAACTTTTTTTTTTATTGTGTATTTAAAATATTTGAGATAATTGTATAGTATAATTTGTTTTTGTTAAATTTCGAATTTTGTGTTGATTTTAGATCTGTTTATTTAATTTTGAATTTCTAGTTTTTATTTAATGTTTTGATTTTTTTTTTTTTTTTTTTTGTTTGGTCACGGGTTAGAGGTTTTTTGGTGGGTGGTGAGGTGGGTTATGGTGGGTGGGTTCGGGTCTTGTAGGTGAAGATGGTTGGTTAGGGTTAAGGTGGTGGATCTGGTGGGGTTAAGCGGGTTAATGGCGGTGGTGGGTTAAGGGTGTGGTTAGGCGTGGGGGTTTTGGGTTAGAGAGTTTTGGTGGGTTAAGGTGTGGTGGGTTACGGTGGTGGGTTAAGGTGGTGGATCTGGTGGGTTAAGGTGGTGGTTTATGGTGGTAGGATTGGTGGGTGAGGGCGAGGTAAGTTTTTTTTTCTTTTTTTTTTCCGATAGGTTCCGACGGATTATTCTATCGGATGGTATAGTATAACGACGGAAACATTTCCGTCAGAACTTTGCGACGGAATTCCCAATAAAGTCAAACTTGACTCCGACAACCTTAATTCCGTCGGAATGGACCTTTCCGAAGGAAATTCCCTCGGAATATAGCCAAATTCCTACAAAATCTAATGCGACGGTGCCTTCCAACGGAATTCCGTCGGAAACAGGCATTTTCGACGGAATTTCAGGATATTCCGAGGGATTATTTCCGTCGTTGATTAGTTGTTTTCTAGCAGTGTTCTTCTCTCCTCTTCTTTCCCCTCCTTCTCACACCAACACCACCGTATGTCACACCAACACCGCCGGAAATCCGTCGCGACGCAGCCAACACCACCACCTTTGATTTTGTTTTGATTATTGTAAAGGTTTTTTAGGCCAAATTCGACCATTAAAAGCCTAGATCTAGACTTTTCATGGTCGAATTTGGCCTTGTTAAACCGTTTACGTGGTGAAATTCGAAGTCCATTTCAATTTAAGGTATGTTTTATGTTTTAATTTTTTTGCTTTTGTTTCTGAATTTTTTTACTTTATTTTTTTTAAAATTTTTGGGTTAGGAGATTCGGTGGTGGTGGTGGGTGTGGCTAATGTGTGTGCGTGTGGTGGGCGGTGATGGGATTCGGTGGTGGTGGTGGTTTTTGTGTGTGCGTGTGGTGGGTGTGGTTTTTGTGTGTGCGTGTGGTGGGTGATGATGGGATTCGGTTAGGGTTAGGGTTGTAGATCTGGGTTCGTTTGGATGGGGTTCATTTGGGTGGTAGATCTGGATTGGGTGGGTTTGGGTTGGGTGGGGAATCTGGTGGTGGGTTAGGGTTCAGTGGTGGTCATGGTGGGTTAGGGGGTGGCTAATGGGGTTACGGTGGTGGGGTGGTTAGGGGTTACGGTGGTACGTTCTGGTGGGTGGGGGTGGTGGGTTAGGGGGTGGTGGTGGGGTGGGTTGGGGTGGTGAGCAGGGATGTGGGCAGTGGTGGATCTGGGTGGGGTAAGGGTTAAGGGTGGGGCTGTTTTTTTTTTTTTTTTTTTTTTTATTATTGACATTTCCGACGGAAATTTCCGTCGGAATATACCTCTTCCGACGAAAATTTCCGTCGGAAACCTCTCCAACTCCGACGGAAATTTCTGTCGGAAAATTGCGACGGAATTTCTATTAAAGTTTAAAAAAGCGCCGACAGAAATAAATCTGTCAGAAACCAGCCTTCCGACGGAATTTTTAGTCGAAAAAGGTCGAATTTCCTACAAAAGGTTTTACGATAGACTGATTCCGACGAAATTCCGTCGGAAGACCATTTTCCGACGGAATTTCTGATGTTTCCGACTGATTTTTTCCGTCAGAATCAAGTTGTTTTCTTGTAGTGCCTCCTTCACCCTCGAAACCCTAGGTGCTAGGGTTTCGAGGGTGGGGGAGGGTCGGACGACGGGTTTTACGGGGAGTGAGGGATGCTTTTCGGGGGAGGGATGTTTCTAGGGTTTTTCGGGGCTGAGGGATGTTTTTGGGGGAGGGGAGAGCTGTGCGGCTGCCGGCGAGGGGCAGGGGAGGGCCGGCGAAGGGCGGCGAATGGTTAGGGAGGTGTGGCGAGTGGTTTGGTGGATGGATAGTGGCTGGATGGTGGCTGGAAAAGGTGGAAAGTGAATTAATTGGTGGTTATGTGGTGGTGGGATTATTTCCCTTTGTTTTTAAAGCAAACAACATAAAGAATGTAAGGTTTTTCAATTCCATTCTTTTCCATTCCCTTTGTTCATTCCATTCCATTTACCTCGTGCGAACCAAACGACCCCTTAATTAGTTGAAATAAAAGCTAATTGTCAATTTATTTCAAAAAAAAAAACAACAAAAAAAACCTTATTGTCAATGATGAGCAAGATGAAAGGTGCATGCTAAAACTTTAAATTTGCCAAACAAATAAGTTTAAAAACACAAATTCTATAGCAATATCTATCGATATTTCCATTTCCATATCTACTAGCCACCAGGCCATTGAGCTTTCAATTCCTTGATTCGCCCCTATAAAAGGTTTACGACTCCACTAAAGAAAGTCATAGAACCATATATGAGTCAAACTGCCATGCATCTTCCCAGCTTTGCGACGCAAGCTTCATAACTTCCAAACTTCCTAGTTCTCGATTCAAGGCACTATTCTTACATATTGAGGACATGAGACAAGAAAACAAATAAGAAATTTAAAAAGATAAAGTAAAACAGTTAATCCATGAAATTTAAATGATTTAATATTGAAGCCATTTAAATAATTACATCTTTTATTATTTCATATGAGAAAGGGTTCAATATTTCTTGAAACTTTTGTGACATGCTAAAATCTAGACTAACCTTAATGGAATTTTAATTTCTAAGTCACTAGAGTTAAAACCAACCCGTCATCTTTGTTGAGAAAATAATAGTTGTAACCATGAAAAACGATTCTCAATTGTAGATCTCATAATTGGTAAAGATGCATTAACGGTTTTGACCTAGAAGCTTAATTTGCCACCAATTGGTATGAGGTTCAATTCTCAGTGACAATTGTTGCCCAACACGGTAACACAACTACCTTTCAACTACGTACCTACATAGATCTTTAAGATCGATTTGGGAGAACACATACATTTAGGGCTTTCACCTTGCCTTTTGTGTTTCTCCGTGATATTACTCAATATATAGCTCCAATAAGTGAAATTGAAAAAAAAGTCGTATTTATAGAAGAGAGGAAACAAGAAAATAAATAAAGCTCAGCCGATTTGTCGTTTAGCATGCAACACCTAAAGTCGTTCGCAGACTTCAAAGTTCCGCACGATCTTACGCGCAGGACGACCTTGAGTTATACGTAGGAGCAAGCTATAGGTCGTACTTGATCAAGCGCGAGGATAACATTCTCCGTTTTACATTACTCCATACAATTCCAATTATCAACGACCTCGGTTCTCAACATCGATCGTACCATGGCTCCAAGTCACCAACACGGCCTCACCGCCTCACGGGTTGAAAAAAGAGCTGGACTCCAAACAAGTACACCGTACGAACTAGTATGATTATTTATCATCATAAGTTCAGAATAGATCAAATTCTGAAATTAAAATAATCAAAAAGCCCAAAAATGAAATAGATTTATATAGTTCAGAACTTCAGACTTTAGTGTGGGTTGAGAATGAGATAATTACGATGACTACATTATTGTATGCTAACTAAATCGAGTAAAATGCCTTTTCTCACTCTGAGGTCAAACCAATTAACTATGGTTACTCTCATGGAGTCAGTGTACAACTAAACTAAAACCCTCTTTCTCTCTCCTCTTTCCTCCCCCTTCTCTCTATACTTCACTGAGTTCCGAGTTCAAACGGCCGCCGATCGAAGATATGAGGTCACCCCCCAAATCTCCGGCGACCATGTCGGCGCAACCGGAGCCGATCGAGGTGGTTCATGCCGGAAAGCGGCCGGAAATGCGATTGGTTCCAATTCTTCCGAACATTCCAGAATTTGAGCTTCCTGATGGCTGGATTGTTGAAGTCCGCCCTCGTGGTCCTACTTCCTCTATTAAGATGTCTGACAAGGTCTATTTTCTTCCTAATCTTTACTATTTTTGCTCAATTTTATTCATTATTTATATAATTTGTTGTTATTGGTTTGTTGATATTGTGTTCTGGAAGTGATGATTGATTTTTTTATTGTGTTTTGTGGTTAATTGTAGTGTTTTGTAGTGTTTTAGTGTTTTTCTACTGTTTAATTGTTAGAATTAAAGTGCAGTAAATGATTGTTTTTAAGTTGATTTTTTTAATTTGATTGACGTTTAGGGGAATGATATTGTTTAGGTATAGAGGGTGTTGAATTAATGCTTTCTAGAGATTCATGAGAATTTCCTCTGTTTTTAAAGGATTTGTTGCTGACTTGCTGTTGGTTTGGACCCAATTTAGATGTTTTGCGGCACGTGTAACACGGGCGCGTATTATTTACGCGCCCCACGGGCCATACCCCACTCGCGAGGCCAGTATGCGTTTTTATTGATACGACTGCGTGGATAGCACGTTCCAATCACTTAGTAACAAGTCAGTCGAAGCAATGTAGAGACGTGATTACAACGGATTGGACCATGTATCACACGCAGTCGATATATTAGTATTATTAATTGTGTTAAGTACATTTGATACATGGTCCAATCACGTTATAATCACGTTACATCTCTACATTGTTCCGACCGACTTGTTACTCTATACAAAGTACCATTCAATCACAGTTCTGCGAAATGACATGGAAATTATTAATTGATTATTGTAAAGCAAATGTTGATTGTTAAACACATACTTTGTATTATACATTTTACCTTGCTTTACATATTTCTTAACATGCTATGGAATGAATATGAAAACATGGACTCACTAGCTACCATTTGATACAAGAGGTGTTTAAGCTAAAGGTGGTTCAGGCTTTTGTGCATTACCTATGTGATTCAGTTTGATGTTCTGACGAATATATAAGTTTTACACTTGTGCATACCAATATTTTGCGTATCCATTGTATTAGTCTCTATGGTCATTCAGTATAGTGTACTCTTACACCAGACATTTTGCCCTATAGTCCCTATTGCAAACAACTTGAGATTTTTTCTACTATAATACTATTTCCTAAGAGAAACTTTTGGCTCTTTCATTCTTGAAACAAGTATTCTCCTTGTATCTTTACATAGAACATGGTAGCAAATATCTATTCCCAGGATCTGATTATTTGATAATTGACTTTAACTACATAGTACTTTCTTTCCTTGCTTAACCAAGCCTGTATCTATTCCTTGGGGCCTCTGAGCAGTTTCTGATTTCTGCCAAATTAATCATTCCATCTCTCTGGAGACAAACTTGTCTACAAATTCCAGGATCACTCACCAGTCACCAGCATCGACAAGGAGCTGTATGGTTCTTAAATAATGCTACTTTAATAATTTTCTATATGGAAGATATGAACAAACTGAGTGATAAAATTGTTATTTAATTGTATCTCAAAACTTGGTGAATTGAAAGAACATTTGGAGATGCTGGCAAAGTATACTGCGTTGTCTGCGTATGATTTCTTCACTAGTCTACTGCATTATTTTTATTAATACAAAGTTTTCTTTCTTGCTATGCTAATCTTCATAAGTATATTCTATTTCCACTTCAGCTTGTTACTAGCTATTCTATCTATTGTTCCTGTTCTTGTATTTATCAAAATGGGATATTTATGATTACCTTTTTTCAGTATTATTATGAGCCTGGAACTGGACGTAAGTTCCGTTCTCTGATATCTGTTCAGCGGTACTTATCTGGAGAGGAAGATGTTGTTGTGCCCAGGAGTAAGCCATCCAATAAGCAGCCATCCAATAGTCTGGTGGTGAGTTAGTCTAGAGAAATATTAATTGGTCTATTTGTACTTCACTTCTTATCTTGCTAACTATGGTTGCTGTTGTATATATTTTTTCAGCCTTATCAACATTCTGGTACCGTTAGGAGAATCGTCTATGGCGGGAAGGTAAATGATGAATTTATGAATTTGCATCCCTGGTCAATAGTAGTCAGAAGGATAATTCTCGATTTCCAGAACAAAGCTGTCTTATCATTCTCAATTACCGTTGCAAATGGCTCCAGGTCTTGAGGCCAGATGAATTAGAGGAGGCACGCCGGGCAAAATTGGATGACATTGTTCCTGAAACTTTTCAGCCTAAATCATCTTCCATTCTTCCTGATGGCTGGATAGTGGAGGAAATTCCACGAAAATGTGGTACTAGATGCGACAGGGTACTTTCTTTATCCATCTTTGCCTCGATGTTGTAAAAATGCTATTATCCTCCAAAACTCATGCTTATTAGTTATATGCATTCAAGCTTGTATATCGTCTATAAGTGAAGTTTTGATTGAGTATTCCAGTGTTTGGTTTCAGATAATTGTTTTTGTCTTGCTTACATTCACAAAACCTTGATGCTGCAGAAAACGTGTAGAAGTTTGTGTGCATTGCTTAAGAAAATCAAGATCCTTTTTTTGAGTGATTTAATTATGGTTATTTTGCCATTTTCTTACATGGCTCTGCTTTTGTTCATTTTTTGCTATCAGTAGTCTTTCTTGTAAAGACCTGTCTTTATACTGAAAAACAATCATAATTTCTTTCTTTCTATGTGCATTGTCTTCATGCTTGAATATTAAAAATTGAGGTACAACCGTACAACATTTAGAGGTCATACATTTTGTCATGGGCCCTCATGGCCACTTGAGTTTGTATACTTTTGTATCTATAAATCTTATTTTCTGCAGCATTAATATGGTAGCAGAAGGCAACACTTACTTTTATTGGGGAGTTAGGGATAGATAAGAGACAAGTTGCAACATTTACAGCTGATTGCAACGCAAAATTTATCTCTGCAGTGTTAATATGGAAGCAGAAGGTAAGGCTTATTTTAATTGGGGAGAGGGAATGTAGACCACAATTCCTTTCACGGTGACAATTGGAATGACTGAAGAATAGTAAATATTTTTTCAGTTCAAGGGTTTTGGTGGGAATTAAACATGATTTTGATTGGTATTGCTTTTTATTTGTTGAAATTGTGGGGCACTGTTCATTTCTGATGAGTCTTGCCTGACCTTTATACTTGCATTCTAGTTTCTTGTAAAAATCTTCCCATGTAGTGTCTTTCCCTGCTGTATTTTGTGATTCTGGTTTATTTGGATGATTAGAAATGATAGCTTTAATTGTGAACCGGAGATTTGACATCTTTATTTGCAGTATTATATTGAGCCAAGAAATGGTCAGAAATTTCGATCAGTACCAGAAGTTCAGAAATATCTGGCATCACATAAACATAGCTCTAAAAGCAAGGCATTAACTTTGAAAAATCATTCAACTGTAAGTAGTACAATTGACTCTATGTATTTGCTGTTGTGTCTACCAGTATTTTGATTATTGATACAATACCATCTTTACAGGCTCCACGAAGTCCAGCTCCAAGGAAGAAGAACACTTCACTTAAGACGTTCAAGACGTCAATGTTCAGGACATTCAGGACGTCAATTATTGATCTTACAAATCCCCCAGAAAAGATTAATTGGGTATATAGCGGTGATGGGAGAGATAACTGGAGCCCACTTGTAGAAGAATGCATGCTTCCAGATTATATAAAAGAACAATGGGAAGAAACTTTCTTGCTTGGTATGAATGGATGGAAGCATCGAGTCCCACAGGTATTTTTATTCCCTGTCATTAGTTATTGACTTTAATTTATTAATAGTCCTTCTCATATTACCATTTCCAAAAATATGTATAGTATCATTTATTAATTGCTGGGCAAATTTCTGAATTATGCAGCTGACGATGGGTGAGAGCCTTCAGGCAACAAATGCATAAAGTGGAGATCCATTCTCCTGCTGTAAATTTTATCCCGTCGTTGATCTATCTTGAACTGAACTGATGTGTACAGTATTAAAAATGTTGAGGATTTGAATCTCTGTTAAAATGTTTTCCCTTAGCGGCTTAGTTGCCGATGTTGAACAAATATTGGGTTTACCTCCCTTTCACGTAGTTGCCTATACTGCGGCTTCATGATTATGTCCAAGGAAGCTTCCCCTACCCAATAGGTACCAGAAATAAGGGTGTTAGTGTTTCTGTTGCATTATGGATTTGTGGAACTATTTATGAAGCCTTGTTTATTCAATGGTGCCAAAAACATTTCCTCTGTTTTTTATATGTGATACTGATGTTGAACGAAGAATATAGATTAATAGTGATTTTACTTGTAAACATGAAAGATTTAATTGTGTTTTAAGAAATTAACAGGCCAAAAAAAAGAAAACAAGTGATAAAATTACAGTATTGCTGATATTCATCTAGATTAACAAGGGCCAGCTTATTGCGAATAGTGTTCTAAAAACGCAAAGGAACGCTGAAATGTGTAAGCAGCCGTGCAGGATTTAGAAGCATGAACATATTGCTCTTTTGGGCGAGCTAATCAAGTGACATTTGAAGCAAAAACTACATGAACCAGGCAAACCTATCATATTGAGCATTAAAAATGTCTGAAAAGGCCAAAATTAATTCCTGTTATGGCGTACAATGGTCCAGTTGCCAGTGTACAACAATATAGTATCCAAAAATCTTACTTGTATTTACAAGCTCAAATCGAATGTTAGAAGAAAGAAAAGGTATTAAATGATCCCTGAGTAACTAAATTGCAATGTACTGTTGAGCAAAGCATTGAACTCCGGTGAAATTTTGTTACTACGGCAAGCTTCCAGACAAGTAGAGGGAGAGTTTCTCTCTCATGTTGGAAGCAGTCAAGTCGGCAGATTCACATGTTTGTTGTCGATAACTCTCATCATGGCAATGTGACAATGAGATCTCGTCCTGTACTTCATCTTCTAAGTCAATTACGATGTTGTGAAGGAGGCAGCAAACAAGTATGATCCTTGGTAACCTATGCTTATCAGGTCTCCACATAGCTCCATGTATTATCTTCCACATCTCCTTCAATCTAGCCAATGCTCTCCTTGCCACCATTCTTGTTGCGAAATGCCGCTTATTAAAGTCTGTCTGAGTCTCTGAAAGACCTTTGCCTTTGTAAGGTGTGACTAGCCATGGTAACAAGGGAAATCCCGAGTCTCCTATTATGTATTCTCTTATTTCTGATTCTTCAGAAAGAAGTACTGATTTTCCATTTAACCGTTTTCCCTGCTCACATAGTTTGAAGAAATTTGAGCTTTTAAGCACTACAGAATCACTTAGTTTTCCAGGCCATCCAGTGACTATGTCTCGCAGCCTCATATCAGGATCCACGATTGCCTGCAACAGCATGCTATGGTTTTTCTCGCGATCAAACCATACTTTATTAGCAGGGTCTGCCAAAGGCAAACACATTGTGATATGGGTAGTATCAATCGCCCCGCAACAGTTTGGGAATCCTCGGATTTTCTCAAACTTCGCCTTTATATTTGTCATTTCTTCATCAGAGGCAGGCCACTGAAGGTGGTGAAGTCCTCTCTTCTCCATAGACTCCACAAAACGCCAGGTAACTTGGGAGACTGTTGAGTGGTGCAAGCCAAACAAATCTCCAACTGATATTAGGGATTCTCCTGAGCTAAGTCTTCTGAGAGCAACTGCTACTTGGTCATTTAGAGATAAAGGCTTGCCATTTGAGAAGGAAAAGTGGCCTGGTTTAGCAGACATATCTTCTTTTACAAGAGAGCATATATAGTTGAATGTCTTCCTTGAAATCTTGAAAACTAACTCGAACTTATCCAATCCTTGTGATGGAGGAAGAAGACCTGTGGATGAGTGCAGATCATACTCAGACCATATATAATAAGTAATAATAGGATCCTAACAGTCAGTTGTGCATGGCAAACGATTAAAACAGTCAGCTATACTAAACAGAAGAAGACAGAGGTTATTGATATGAAAATATTATTATGCTGCATAACTTTGTTAATACCTTAACTAAGGACTCAAGTGTCATCTTGCATCTGCACAAGAACAATCATGACATATTCCAGACAGCTCAATGCAACCATTCAATACCAGAAACCTAAAAGTCTTCACACCTATGAATAGTCAATAGTTACATTTTCTTAATTGCTATCAAATTTGTGGTGTCATTTTTCATGAAAGAAGATTTTTTTCTATTTTTCTGACGGAAAATTTTCTTGTAATTCATTTTTCTGAAGTCTGAACGATCAGTTCATATTTCCGTCATCAGTAAATTTGCACATAATGCTATACATTTTCAGCAAATTCCACACTCTGGCATTCACTGCAATCATTCTTTTATTAAATCCTAACAGAGTGAAAATTCATCAAAAAAAACTTCAGCTCCTGCCACATTTCACCAAGAGTCAGTAGGCCACACCACAACTTATGCTCAACAGTTAGAAGACTTTTAACATACTCCAGGGAAAATAGGAACAATCCAGCAGAATTCTTTTCATGATTTAGGCATTTAGCAACACCAATTCAGAACAAAACAAATTTACAGAGGTAGTGAAAAATCAAATTGTTCTTAAACCAATAAGAATATGGTATCCAAACAAAATTGGATCCACAGCTTCACCTAGCTTACAACAAAATTTCTCATTTCAGCTTTATTGTTCATTACACATTACAAGACTCTGCAATCAGCTGACATCTTCCCATAGAAATAAGTTACTGGTAGATCAGATTGTATAACTGCCCCAAATTACATTCACTAAATCGGTTTTTGTCTAATTATTCCTATTACCTCCTTTCATACAGCAGAAAATCAACACTAAGTCACATGGGCCAGACAACCAAAATGTCAACTATAAGCAAAGTCCTAATTAAGATAATCTAGTTTCTATTCTTTTGAGTGAAAATTGTGGAACCAGTGACAAAGGAACATTTGTAGCTTGAAAAGTAAGCATGCTAAAGAAAATCCATAATTCACATAGAATGCTGTTGCTTACTGTCTTAAGATCTCAAACCAACCGAAAAGCCATAATCCCCCACTTGGCACATCAGCTGTATAAAATCTTCAATTTGATATCTCAAATCTATTAAGAATGCCCCAACCAAGTTTTACATTAGATTTCAGATGCCTGATGCCCTGATGTAACCCTCATGAAATGATGGGATACTTTAGGGACGGCCTAATATAATCTACAAAAACAGATTGGGATATCGATTACAGGAAAGTTTTCTGTCTTAGAGCCTGCTTAACTAATAGCTGAACAATCACAGTCAAGAGAACAAAGTCATAAGCTCATCTCTTCTCATTTATAGTGGAAAACTGGCAAGGTCCAATCAGCAGATCTTGAGCTATTAACACCATCCAACTTGCACCAATAAGCAGTGACCCACTAAAAGTTTGGAAGCATAATCCCCTGCAGATCTGAATGACTGTGGCCAAACTTGTACGCACAGCTTAATATTTTCTCATACCCTTACATTTTCCAGAACATATATCTACTGCTTCAACATTACCACACACTTTATAAAGTTCTAGGTGGATAAAGGGGGATGGATATAAACATTCATACCCTTGGGACAACATAAAGGCTATTTCCACAAAAACTCTCAATCATATACTTCATATGCAACAACCATATACTATCTCAATTCCTCAAACATATAACAAAATAAGAAAAATGAGGGCGGTCTAATGAGTCCTTTCAATTTCAAGTCATTATAACCCAAACGCCAAGGATAGTATTACCACACATCAACAGAAACTCCCTTGGATAAGCGGAAAGCGGGCATAACTTGGATCTCAGTTATCTACAAAGATTACTGAAAGGACACCTCCTCCCCAGTGTATGTCAGCTAGCATAAAGACCTCAGATTGAATCTTGTTTACATCACAACCCTTTACAACTCTTTCTATAAACCAAAAAAAACCCTACCTCCCTACATGTTCAGTAGTTTTACAACATCTTATCATCCTCAAACTCGAACTTATCATTAAACTCGCGAACACTAGGAGATAAGGATAACAAATTTCTACAGCTATATGGAAGATGATAATGCTAGGAACCCCTCTTAAGAAATGTCCAAATACATTTACAATCCAAAGCTACAAGCACCACTCATTACCAAGCAGAGCAAAATAATGGTGAATCTACAACATTTAACATTAAATTCAACCCATGAACATGAATTTTACTATGTAATAACAAAAACCCAAATGCCAATCATTCCAAAATATGATCAAATACAGTAATTCACACAAAAATCATATACCCAGTTGCAAAAACATGCTATGAACAAATAGAAATACGGGACAATAAACAAAATTTGAAGAGTAAAAGTATACCATTAATACCCTTAGAGAACTCGACCCACCAATCTCCAGACTCTTCATTTTCTGAAACATCTATCTTTCTTTTCTTCTTTGACCCTCTTACTGGCCCCATCGAGTCAATTGAAACCCAAACTCTGAAATCAACCAAAAAACCATTAAACAAAACAATTAAAAAAACCAACCATTTGTTTATATAAGATATAAAATATGCAAAAGCATATAATAAAATAAAGGGTAACTAAAACAAGATCATAGGCAAAGAATTTGTATAAAATGGTGGGTTTTGTAACATAAACCATGCACAAAACCATAAGAAGAAGTAAATTTTATAGAATGCAAAATAAATGGTGTATTTTCTTGATGCAAAATTAGTCAAAAAAAAAGGAATAACTTAAAACAAAAACAATGGGTTTTTCTTAGGACAATGTAGCAAGAGAAGAACATACAGTGAGTTTCTCTCTCTACAAGTTTATGGATTTTTAGAGAGAGAAGAGGGGGAAGTTGGAAGAGATAGTAGTACTCGTATTATTTTCCTAGCTATTTATGGTTTTTATTTGTAGTAGCGCATGTTTTTTGAGATTTTATATTATGAACAAAAAGGAAAAAAAAATGGCAAAAATTGAAAGAAAATTAAATTATATTTCTTGCTTGTTTGCTTGATTTGCACATGAAATTGTAGCTTTTTGCAGTAATAAATAGATTGGTTTAAAAAAAAATTGATGGTCACGCCATTAACATAATACTTGGACCAATTTTGACTAACATATACGAAGTAAATTACTAGGTTGTACCTTTTTATGATAGAAGGATGATGATTATGATGTTGGTTTAGATCGATTTGAATGTTCGTAAGATGTATCTGTAATGCTGACTTTTTAGAGATAGTAACATACGTTTCAAGGATGAGTCCCTATTGTGGTGCTTGAGGATTATAAGGGTTTGGAACTTATACGACCACCTCCGTAAATAGATATGGAGTAATACGAGTATTTTGTAAGTAGATGTGAATTATTTTAAAAGGTTAAAGTTTAAGGGTGTACTTGGGCTTATTTTATTGGGGGCAGATTATGATGAGACTCAATCCTCATTCAAGAACTTCTAATACCCCATACTAAGTTATTGTCCTTCACTCCTTTGTATTATGTTGTTAGTTACCACGTTTCCATGGTAATACTAGCTAATGCATAATTTTAAATGCGGGTAACTTTTTACAAACCTAGCCAAATCTCATATGACTATATTTTAGTAAGTGAAAACATTAAAAAAAAAAAAATCAAAGTAAGGTGTGTGAATAGTATGATTGTATGAAAGTTGAAATGCTCATTACAACTAAAAATAATCTTTTTATTTTTTATTTTTTAAGAAACAACTAAAAATAATCTAAAGAAACACTAAATAGTATGATTTTTTTTTTTTTTTTTGCAGCACAAAATCATCACAAAACTCTCCAATAATGACATGTTTAAATCAAATCGTGGAAAAAGGATCATATGTGATTCTGTATTTAAGATTACTTTAAAGACAGTGTGCATTACATTAGATTCATAATGCATGCCAGATGGAAGATGAACCATTTAATCTTTATTTGGGAGGTGATGGTGATACATCTAAGTATCTAACTATTAAAGTACCTTTTAATTCTTAAAACATGGAGTTTTTAGTTGTTACTGGCACATAAGAAGGTAAATTTGATATTGAACATTAATTTCACCAGGATTACATGCATTTAATAAAGTTTGTAAATCATGTTTCTCCCTGATACTTCCTTCGTTCTTTTAATATTGTGACATGGATAAAACACTTGTCAAAGTACATATTAGACAGAAAACGTCTTAAATTATACAATTGCTAATATTATTGATATTGTAAAAATATATACATCAAGATGAATCCTATAAAACTTATGAATGTTTTTTCCTAACTTACAACGTATGGTTAAAGACGAACATGAAATTAGTGTTAAAAGTGCAGACATTGCAATATTAAGAGAGCGGAGAGAGTTTATAGTAGATGCTTTCTCGTTAATGTAATCAAAGTTATAGTCCTTGTAATAATTTTTTGGTTGAAATATTCTCCAATTTTCAACCTAGGGTGAGCCCAACCCAATCCTAAAATAGGACCTAAACATTTGTCCCACAACAAATACATTGATGTGAAAATATCGTGATTAAGCTTTAAGTGCAAGGTTTCTCCTGTGGATATGGTCCATGATCAGATTGTGGGCCTAATATGGGTAATCCCGAGCCCATAGTTTCTATATACTATATTAAGTACAAAATTGAAGTAATTTGGCCCAATCAGTTGATGTTGGGCTCATGGGTTATAGAAGTTTTTCCATTGAAAGTAGAACGCGTTGTACACTTGTACTTAGCATACACGATACACCATATGAATTTTTGGTAGTGTGATCTTGTACTCTTGTATGTAGTATGAGTGAAGTAATAAATGTGATGGAAGAACTTAATAAACCCCCTCAAGTAGGTTTATTGGTTTAACGCTTTATGTAGAAATTTACTATCGTGAAACTTACCAACGACACGAGAAAAGTGGCAATTATAATTTCTGCATTTTTATTTAGTTGACATACTTTTCTTATAAAATCGCTTATATTTAATTACGAACAATTCTCTTTCTTTTTCTAAATAGCGCAGACCCAGTCATTTTAAATTATTGTATTTTTTACCTCATCTTTTACCCACTATTCATCCATTAATTATAAACAAATAATATCCACAGCATACTAAGTTACTAACTATACCTTACTACACGGTAACAAAAATAGAAAAAATATTAATCTTCCCACTACCAACTATTATACAATATGTCTCAAAAAAAAAAAACTATTATACAATATAACAAGTATTCAATTAAATTGTCCTAAGATTTTATGCTACTTCTAGGTTTTCTAGTATAATTCAAATACAAACTTATGTGGGAACAAAACCTATAACAGTGTATAATTACAATAAAATTATACAACCAAATCAATACAACCAAGTGTATTCAAACCAAGCACTACTAATTCAATGAATTACAGAAATTACAATGAAATTAACTAACATGAAAGATTACAAACTTGCCTCACTTCCAAGCCTTTCAAACAAATATGAACATGAGAATTTCAATGACCACGTGAGTCTCAAACCTTGATACTTTGTCTTAGGCGTGTGAAACACTTTCCTAAAAGAGATTAATTTCTCCCACAACGATGCTTGGGTTTTTACCGGAAATTCTCTTTGAGATACAAAAGATAACGAATCGTTCTTAGCACTTAGAGACGAAATTAGATGATAAATTCTCAAATATTTGGCTAGATTAATAGAGTTTTCAATGATGAGTTTGCAAGATTCTTCAATGAAAATGTGGAGAGAATAACTTGGAGAGGAGAGAAAACTGAAAATGAATCCTCATTCTCCAATTTCACAATCCACCTTTTGAATAAAAAGAACGAAAAACCGCAAAACTGAACCGACGCGGGCGTGGGTGTCCAGGCCGCGGGCGCGGATAGGATGATTTGGAGCTCATCCTTTGAAACTTGTAGAATGCTGGCTACGCCCTTGGAGAGGGCTCTCCCCAGAAACCCGCGAGAGCGACACATAAGGCCGCGGGCGCTTCTTTTCGTGGCTTTGTTTCCCCTGTTTCCCAGCCGCGGCCTCTCCCCAACTGGGAGAGGGCTCTCCCCATTTATACACTCAAAATTACTAACAACTTCAAGTTTGTCAATTAATAGTGTCAACCCTTACCTGTAAATCATATCTTATTTCTTAATAAACCAATGAAATTTTCAGCTTATCTGTAAATCCTATCTTAATGAACTAATGATATTTCATGCATGCATGGTATATACATCCAACATTGTCAGGCCTTACCTGTAAATCCTATCTTAGTGAACCAATGATATTTCTTGCGTGCGTAGCATATACAATTAACAGTGTCAGACCTTCATGTCAATCCTATCTTAATTTCCTTAACATCATAGGTTAACTTATACATGGAAACATATCATATCTCTCGTGATTCATCAAACAGACCTTGCATGTACATCCAACATTGTCAGTCCTTACCTGTAAATCTTATCTTAGTGAACCAATAATATTTCTTGCATGCGTGGCATATACAATTAACAATGTCACACCTTCCTGTCAAGCCTATCTTAATTTCCTTAACATCATAGGTTAACTTATACATGGAAACATATCATATCTCTCGTGATTCATCCAACAAACCTCAATAATTATTTTTTCTTAATGTGTAATCTCAAAATCCTATAAATCCAACACAACCATTCTCATTAGTGTTTATACCAATAACCAAAACACAAACCAATTCTTGAAACCACAGGTTTCCTCAAAAGTTCAAATTCAGTCAAATTTCCAGTTTCAATGGTCACTTTGGCCGAAAAGTATTGGTTGGAAGGAAAGATAAAAAGGAGAAACCAATTTCATAGAGATTGACATTCATCTTCACCAACATTGCGTCAACAATTCACCAAGTTTGTTTTCCTCATTTCTTAAATATTTCAATTAGAACAATATAACTAGTATAGTATCCGTGTAATTACACATCTTATTAAAAATTTAAACATAAATACTTTCAAAAACTCATTTGCATTATGTTATAAGGAAAATTGATTCATCTTGTATAATTTTATTTGAAAAAGAAATTAAATCAATATGCTAAACAATGATCTGTTCCTTTTTTAATATACAAATTCATGTCATCCCGATCAGACATTTCCTATAATTATCATATGTTAACTATAAATCAACATGCAAACAAATACATATCATATCATTAAAAAAGACTGACTAGAGTTTCTTGTCTTACAGATATTATAATCTCATGGCTATGAGATTTGAATTGAGGGCTAAGGCTATATCATTTGTTATGGTCATCAACTCTTTGTAACCTTTCTTCCTACAACGCTTAGCATAATACTCGAAAGAGGAGGAGGAGGTGGTACGAAGGAAAGGAAAAGTTCCTGGATGATGATCAAATGAATGAAAAATACACTTCCTCAATTCAAGGGAGGTTTGCCTAGGTTGATTCCTTTTATTCCTCTGATTCATAGCCTAAGTGGGAAAAATGTGTCTAAGTAGAATGTAATTTTAATATAGCCTATTCTACCAAGTTAATTTTACCCTTTAGTGACTATGTTAGCCTTTTGTTTAATATTTTCTTCCTTTGCTAACTAGCCACCTAAATATGTATTGTTGGGTGTTCACTAATAGAGTATAAAACATATTCGTGAACCTCAACCATTAGCTTAAGCGTCCATTAACATGATATCAGAGCCAATGTGATATAAAGGTTACGGGTTCAAATCTCATTCATTATGTGAGCCTTTGTTTTAAGTTGACTCTTCTTTGCTAACTAGCCACCTAAAAAAGTAAAGTTGGATGTTTATTTTTAAGGACACCAGTATAGAGTTATAGACATAATGTCATAAACTAAGTTGGGCTTGTAAAGCTTGTACCATATTATGCCAGCAATAAATAGTACTTTATACATTCAAGAGTTTGGATTTAAAGAGTACTCTATCCGTATTTTATTACTTGCTCTATTTTTCCTGGGTAAGTACGCCGATAAAAATTTTTGATCAATAATATTTTAAATTATCAATAAGTATAAATTATAACAATTGAAAATTAATAATCTATTCATTGAGACAATTTCAACAACTACCTACAAAACTATAGTATTTTTCAGGAAAAATTGACTAGAATAATCCAACCTTTTGCTGATTATTTGGGAATAATCCAAACTTTCAATTATTTAGAATTATCCAACCTTTGGGGCCTTGGGGGTATTGTCTTCTAAAGAACCTAATTGACCGGTTACCTTAACAACAAGTCATTTTTTATATAAATTTTTTCCTTTTTAATTTAAAATAAAATTAATTAATTAATTAATTTTAAAAAATGAAATACTATATCTTCACCACCACCATGACTACCACCATATCGTCATCACCAAAACCACCACCCTCACCACCCAACACCTCTTCGCAATATTAAAACCACCGCCGCAACCACCATAGCCACCAGAAGCTTCTTGTGAGATTTCTTTCTCCCGTAAAAATAACTTTTGAGGTAAAGGATTGGATTATTCTCGGTTAACTAGCAAAATGTTGGATTATTTTAGGCAATTTTTCCTATTTTTTATATATAAATCGTAAACATTAGTTAAAATAGATCAAATAAATAGTATGAAAAATTTAAATAAAACAAGTACTTTGTAAACATGTCGGCAGGAAGCCTATTAAGACTCAACCTAGTGTAAACAAATTTAGCATCAGCCCATTATGGGCCTAAACTGTTGGCCCAAACTTTCTGGATGAATAAAATTGTTGTTTTGCTAACTTTCTACCATGACATGAACCTCCAAGTCTTTAAAACACAATTTTTGTGCACTCCACTTTTTCCTTAAATAATAATAATAATAATAATAATTTTGCATAACATTGCTAATTTCACATAATCTTCCATGACTTCCAACTCTTCAACAATGAACATTGTTTGCACAAGTGCATACTAGTGAAGGCTAGAAAAGATTTTCCCCAACACCAACCTAGGATTACCCATACGATGCCTAGGGCTATTGTGTTAAGGAATAAACCTCTGAAAATTTAAACCAATATTTCTTAATTAATATTCTACCGAGTACCTTTTTTTAGAAAATTCAATACATAATCCTACTTTGTATCTATGAACTATGTCAATTAGTTTCAAAATCTATTTATTACGTTGTTATTACATGTCGTGCAGGCAAATCAACAATATTGTGATTTTTCATTAGTTATGCGTTCTCTTATTTTGTGATAAAATTAGAGGTACATTAAACCTCGATATTTCATTTGACTTTTTATGTTTAAAGTTGATTAATCACAGCAACCATCAACTGAGAAAATGATACGAACGAAAAGCAGCAATAGCTACATTAGCTACCTCAAGACTTTTGTCAAAGCTTATTTAAATAAGACGAGGAGAACATATAACTTGTGTTAATGCATTGCATGTACTTCTATCCGTCTATCTATGACTAGTTTTATATTGTAGCTTAAAAAAGCTCTAATAAACTAATAACACATTGAAGTACATTAATCTTAGTAGTGTTCCTGCTTTTCCTTGTTTCTCTCCGGTTCCTCAGGCACATCAATTTTCTCCAATCTCGGAAGTTTATAAAAACAACTTTCTTCTAATCAATCTAATATTACAGCTAAATTGTTATATTTAAGTCATAATTGTACTATAAACACTAAACTCAATGCATAATTTTGCTTAAGATTCTCCACTACCCATAACCAACAGCCCAAAAGAGGGAAATTTAAGAATAAAAGGCCCAAAACTCAAAGTCTAAAAAGACAAGCTTTTTATACTACTATTATGTTCATTTTTTTAATTTAGAGCTCCAAAATCAATAGATAAAAGTCAATTCACATGAAAATGGAGCTTTTATATTCTTCTTCTTTTTTCTTTTTCTTTTTTTTTTCATGCACATCTCTAAAATGCAAAAGCTTCCCCGAATTCCCAAAATTACCACTACAACTGCTACTACTAGTCTACTACAGAAATTCCTACAATTTTAATGTACGTTACCCACTACTAGTCACGGCATATAAACATTTGTCCCCTTGATTTTTCAACCTTCTAATTCGTTAATTCGATCATCCTTCCTAATAATATAATATTCTTGTAGGTTAGACAAGAGGAACTCACAATACATATTCGAAGTCCAAGTAACTAATTCTGTGGAATCAGTAGTGACAAAGACACTTAATTTTGATTTCGTTCTTGACAAGTATTGTTGATGGTAGCACGAGTAGAATCCGTGTGACATTTTTTCTTACTAGTACTTGTTTGAGTCTTTGGCTTCCTCGGTAAGCATTTTGCTCTCACTCCTTCCACTTCTTTTTCCTCCAACTTCATATGCACACTCCTATATAAAACAAATCCAATTGTTAAAACCAATTATAGTGTTTTGATCATACCAAAAGAAAGCTAATTATACCGTGTCAAGAAAACAATCAAAAACCTCAACACAAGTAGCATTTTTGTCATTCATTACGAGTTATTATATAAATTATAATCGCACAAGCACGGTTTTAATCACACATATCATAGTGAAAGATATAGAAAGATCAACACACCTATTTTCCATGTGAATGCACAAAGGCGAAAGAAACAGGACGTATAAAAATTCACTCGAAAGAGATGTCGGCTAACATAGCATGTGACAAACGGCCAACATGACCCCTTGATTTGTTCCTAGTTACTCTACTCTATCCTAAATGCTAATGCATTCTTTCTGGATTTCTGAACTAATCTTCACCTTCGCTTTCACAATTTTACCACCTTTGACAATCAGTCGATCAGTCAATTACAAACCTCATTTTCCAACACTGGTACTTTCATAATTCATAGTATTGAATATTGTTGTGGTCCAATATAATTATATAACTGCAATGTAACATTTTTTTTTTCCGTCGGAGAACGCATGCATATGCTCCAATGCTGGCACATGCTGCTGTAGTTCCCATTGCAAAAGAAAGATCCACAAAAATCTTTGTTTTTTTAGTAGTCAACTAGATTAGACATGTGCGGTGCACAGATTGTAAAAATTATTGAAATAAAATAGCTTATTTCTATTATTATTTTCCTGTATATACTTGTAAATTAGATCAAAAAAACATACCTATCATCATAAATTACACGAGCTCTAACAAAATATAAAAATGAATGTCAATTTGATCTAATCAAACCAAATGCATACGCATCTAAGAGTTCGGAATAAAATAAAAATACTTGTAATTTAAAGATCCTTAATGAAGGACCAACTCAACCAAAATCTTAAGCTAATGGTTGAGACCTAAGATTATGTTTTTATACTCTATCAATCTTAATTTAAATAAATAGAAGCACCTTGGAAATACAAAACAATGATAACACTTATGACAACATTAATTCATTTTTGTATAACAAACATCCATATTGTTAGTACATGACTTCATAGCTAGGTTGCTTGCACAATCCCTAAAAAAAATGACAAAATAAAAAAAAAAAATTAAGACCAATTTTTTAAAAAAAACTTCGTAGTTACCTAAAAAGTTTAAGTTCAATATCAATTTTTTATCAACCAAAAAAAATATTTATTTATTTATTTATTGATACAGTCAAAAGATTGAAATGAAAAAAAATAAAAAAAATTAACCAATTTCTAAAAATAAAACCAAAAAGTATATGACCTATTATAAGTGCATTTGGCGGGAAAATTTTTTATAAGAGAGCAACACATATATAATTTGGGAAGAGGATGATGTCAGCAATTTTCTGTTAAATAGATGCAAGCTAAAGTGTGTAACATGTCTAGCCCATGGTGAGGTTCCGGGTTCGAACCTCGGCCACTAGGAAAATAGCAAGAGTTTTATTAACTCTGCTATCCTAAACAATCATTTAGGAAGGAGCAAAAAGAGGCTAATAAAATGGAAACATACATAAGATAATGCAAAATTGAATGAAGAAAAGAAACTGGTAGTAAAGAAATCAATGATACTCCGTATGTCTGAAAAAACATGATACGAGTAAAATAAAAGCAGGGATCAGAACTCAGAAAGATGATATCATAAAAAATTTGGAGTAAATACTACAGTTTGATCTAGATGAGCAGGAATCTTGCAAAAAAGATAGTACGGGTACCTAATTACTGGCCTCAGGTTAACGCTACATGATAGCCTATGAAGTAGCAGGGGTAGGGGCCTTTACTTACAAGTTACAACTCAAAAATATTTGTCTTCACCATCACATTTTTAAAATTTTATTACTTGTATATGCTTATCATCTTGTGTAATCTCCACTAGCTTGCCTTCATCTAACTACTACCAGTTAATCAAGACTTGTTACTAACTTACTATCTAATACAAAATTATTATGAGTATTCATACAGTAATATAGTTAAAGTGATCATTATCAAGGGTAAAACTATTAACTCGGAGTATCATACTGTACGTAATTGTCATTCAACTAAACAGTCTAAAACTCATTCGAACTTTACAAGTTATAAGCACCTAATAAGCAACAAGATTTGCTCAAAAATACTCTCATTATACTGGAGTACAAATCTACATTGCATAAAAAGAGAGAATGGTGCAACAAGATCAGAACACAGAAATCTGCACAATAATTAAAAAATGTACGTATGGCTTATTCTCTGCAGAAAGAGAATCGTACCTTCAAAACTATCATAACAAGTAAAATTCAAACGTCATATAAACTTACTCTAAATTAGACCACTATTCACACAATAGTTAAACCAAACGTACACTTGATACCCAAATTTGTTACTGTAAAATTAAAGATACTGATCAAATAAACAAAAGGAAATTAGGAGTGTTTACCTATCAGCATTGTAAGAAGAAGATCGTTTAAGCATAGTAGGAAGTTCTTGTTTCTTAGTCTCTATTAAACTCCCGCTAAAATACTCTTTATCTTCCAACGCCATCTTCGCAAACTTACTACTCACATTATTCTCAATCTCCACCATCATCATCTCATTACCCCCGTCCTCGACTAGCCCCTGATGTGTGCCACGTGGTACCCTCGTCTTATAATGAGACACCAACGAAAACCCATTGTCTTTCACCGCGACCGCCCCACAGTCTTTGAACGATATCGATCCACAAGAAATCAAGCTCATTAACACGGTAGATGCTTTCATTCTGCCACTTGGACAACTCCCAATCGTCTGATTATTATTATGATCACCCTGATTGGCAGCTTGCATTGAAGTTGATGATGACGACGACGAACCAAGTAATAATCTCCCGTCAGCTTTCATCAACGACTCTAATGTCTCCGGACTTGAATCCGACGGTGGTGGTGAAATCTCATCCCTACTCAACTCCGTACTCTGTTGTTGTTCATCTTGTTGTTGCATTTCCTCGGCCTTTTCATCCTCGGGTTCTTCCTTTATAACGACCGCCTTCCGACGACGTCGTTTCTCATCCGTCTGAGTTGACGCGTCCGCCGCCGCTTTTCCGGCGAACTCGTGAGTTGACTCAGTCTTATACACTTTATACTCGTGCAAGTCAATCGCACCCCAAGACTGATTCCGGCGGCGATTCCTCACCGCCGGAAAATCAGAATCTCCGGCCGCCGGAGTATTCTTCGCACTTGAAGATGACGACGTCGTTTCAGATGATTTGGATGCAGTTGGCGAAGAAATTATATTTTCGACCACAATCTCGGAACCTTTGAGAACATACTCTCCTTCATGAACTGGATGAATGAAATCATTCTCCGCCAAATCATGCCATACATATCCACTTTTGTAGCTCCTACAAAATTAATCAAATTATTAACATTAAATTTAATTAATCAACAAATTAATTATTATTAATTTAATTGCGATTAATTACCGTTTGGAAGACCAGGAGTAGCGCGAAGGCATGGATTTACCACGAAGAAGATACAGGCGATGGATGACGTCACTAAGATAAAGACCATGAGAAGAAGAGAGAGGAACCTCCATGAAATGAGGATGTTCAAGCTGACCATTTCTGGAAAGATAATAAACTACTGGAACTACACTTGGCTTTTTCAGCTGATTTTGTAGATCATTTAAATTCATATTGTTGTAATCTTCTTGTTTTTCTTTGAATTTCTGGAGATGAAGTTGCTCGCTTCTTCTGCTGCTCAATGTTACCGCCATTGATGAGGAATTACAGAAGCTTTGAAAAAAAATATTATGGCTTTTCTTCTTCTTTTTTTTTTTTTTGGGAAGAAAATGAAGGGAGGTTTGGGTTTGGGTTTGGGGGAGTGAAGAGGGGATTCAAAATAAGAAGGGGGAGAAATGAGGAGAGAGAAAGGAGGAATATAATGGGACAAGAGGAAGAAAACAAAGGTGGAATTTGTTTAAAATTCAGTACTAATAAGGCAGAGTTTATGGTCAGAGGTTTTTGCTCTTATACAAGTAATTCTTGTTTTGTATTTATTCATTTTTTTCAGCTTATGGTTGAATTGAATTCAATACGTACTACTGTAAAAAAGATGAGATTTTTAAATAAAATAAGGGTAATTTGGTGGTCTCATTTTTATGGATCATGGTTTATGAAAGGGATTGATTTAAATGATATTGGTTAATCTCAAAATATCTTCTTTAAATTTATTTAAATGGTGTTTAGTGCATGACTTTGCATGTGAATGCTAAGGTACAAGAAGCGACTTTGTATGTTTAAGAAAGTTAAGATGTAATTAGTCAATTGACAATGATGGATTAATTAATAAAATGTATTTCAAAGGATTGTATTGTAGTAAGTAACATGGGAGTGATTTTTTTGGGTAGTTGACCGCAATTTAATAAGCAAAAATGCCTCTCATTTGACTATACAAGTGTTATTTTGTACATTTTACATTAGATCATGCAAGCATAAGGGTAATAAATAGTACGATCATGATCCTTACAGAATGTTAGTTTACTAGTGTGGGTTGATTTTATAGGTCTCTTCATTGATAGCTAATACGCCGTTGTAAAAGTGTTTACAATCAATTGATTAACCTTCATGATAGATATGATAATAATTTTACTAGCCATAACATGACTTTATACCACTTCATAATGTTGTAAATCAAGTTATTCTATACTTTATGGATTAATTTATTAATTATACGATCTTTTGTTATCATATCACTTCTCACTTTTAAAGTATTGAGTATTGACACAATACTTTGAAAATATTACTCGCAATATTATACTTCGTAGGAGTTTATTACTCCGTAAATTAATAATTATGCGGCATTTATAATTTTAACTACAAAAACAACAATCGGTCAAATCCAATGACGTTTAATCTCAAAGATCAATTGCAATTACTTTGTATCATCATAAATGTATAACTAATAAACTACAACAATTGTAATACGTTGACTGTACTTTTCATCAATCAATGAAGAAAATCTTGATCGAGGACCTCCTCTTCCCACTTTCAAACAGTTAATAGACCAAAATTTCAAAATTGCCTACTGAAAATAGACCAAGACTTAAGATTTCCAAATGAATAGGCCAACTCATCTTGTTTGGGAGTACTTTATTTTGAAAAGAATTTTGAATTAGAGTACAAGTTATATTTATTAGGTCTCTCGACACAAATCTTAGTTTTGCAACTTCTAATCAATACCCAGCAATTTTGAAAATAATGGATTGATTCTTCTTTCTCCCAATTAACATCAAAGAAGACTGTGCTGCAAAAAAAAAAAAAGTAAATTGAAAGTCAAAATTTCTGTTTTCATTAATACTCGTACATGGTTTAAAATATGGATGGAGTAAAGTTTTTGGAGAAGAAATTTTCAAGAATCTTACATACTCCATGCAACACTACAACACTTCCCTTCTTAGGCCATAATCTTTTGAATTAAATTGAATTAAACTGAATTGAGATGAAATGAACTGAATTAAAGATAACCCTTTAAGATTGGGGCCTTATACTCATAATCAGAAGTAATTATATAACCAATATTGTATGAACAACGGCGTGTGTATAGACCACTTGTACAGTTGTACTATATACTCCCAAGGTCTCTAAAATTATAGTAATAGAGCTGCTCACTATCAATCCATTAATCACTTCTTTTGAGTTTTGACCAATCATTTCACTAGAAAGCCTCTTTTCCTAATTTTGTTCATGTGCAACATAGAAGAACAATATACCACATAGTTTCTCAAAAAAACAAACAAACCACATAGTACCTCGAAATGCTAAAATCTTCCCATAATAAGCTGAAAAAAAAAAACACTAAACCCTACTAATAAAGTTGATTAAATTTGTCTTAAGAGATAGAGAAAGAAAGCGAGAATCTACAGCAAAGAGTTTGATTTCACATTAAGAATTCAAACAAAGTTTACTAAAAATAAATAAAAATAGAAAAAAGCGTTGACTAAATATAGTACTAGGACTAGTAGTGGTGTGTATAGCACAGTAGCATTTGGTTTAAACTTGACTGCCACCTAACCATTGACTCAAGTCGCTACTTGCGATGAATGCGCTGCTCAACGTCTCACCAAACCCCAACAAAAATAAATAAATATAAAATGGACTTGACATGTCATCAGTCCAGCTAATATAAGGCCCAGGCCCACAAAGACACGTGTTAGAGGTTGCGTTGACTACCGTCCATGAAATTCAACATTTCTATGCAAAAAGATTTAAAATGAATGATTGTTGATTGATGAGACACCGTCATCATACGGCCTTGATATAATCAGGATTCTGATAATCAACTGCACCAAATCATATCATATCTTAGGCGTAAGAATCTATCTTTGAGAGTTTGAAAGGTTTAGATTTCCATACTCATCCCTCTCTTCACTTTCATTGCTCAATGCAAGTTTTTCTTGAAATAAATTGAGACATAAATGGAGATATAACAAAATTTTCAAACTAGAAAATGATTACTCGATTGTTTTTGTGCATAGAGCATACATGCATATGCATGTTTGTTTTTTTGACCTTACGGGTAAAATTATTATACTCCCCTATCTCTTAATTACGTGTCCGTTTCACTCTATTATGCGTTGAGTTATACTTTTTTAAAAACACAATCTCGTGTCAAATATTTTGAACTATTGTTTAAAAATACATTTCTCATAATACTTGCTATACAAACCCTAGTTCTTTCTCCTCCTTCACGAGCTTCGACCATTGTGTTATCTCCGACCTCTTCTTTGCCTCTTTCTTATAATTCATGTGAGGGAGACATTGTACGAACTAAGAAGCACCTAATTATATGTGAACCTTCATAAGGAAAGTGTTATTAATTATTTTTGCACTCAAATCAGTTAATCTCATTCATGTATTGTTAAAAAGTGTATTACTTCCTCCGCCCACAATTATGTGCAACAAAGGGGTATTATTCCTCCGCCCACAAAAAAGGGATATTCTTTTATTGCACATAATTGTGGACGGAGGAAATACTTTGTAATGTATCTTTATTCAAGATTATCTTCTATATGAAGCAATTTTAGAAATACCTCGTATTCTCAATTTCTTATGCATTACTACAAATGCAATCTAGTGTAAAACTTATTTGCTAAAAAGTAAAACTAATTCTAATGAGTCAAACAAGTTGAGTATGAGACACATGAGTTTAGAGGGTTTTGAAGTTTAGATTTTAATGTGTTAATTCCAATTACATAACAAGAAAATGACAATACTTTTTAAGAACAATATAATCTATTAACTATTACTAAAACAAAATGTTGCTGACGTCATCACTGTCTACATGTCACTGTCATAATAAAAATTTTCCCGCCAAAATGTAAGGATGATGTCATCTTCTTTTTTTATTTTTTACTTTTTTTAGCTACCATATTTAGAAATTTTGAATTAAATATTAGAAGGTTCTACATTGCAACTACAACCTATCAATTTATCCTTAAAAAATAAAACAATTGTAAATAACACACTAATAAATGGACTCATACATTGAAATATGTATTAGGCGATGATTTTATATAAACCATGCATCGCACGGGTTCTAACCTAGTATATTAATATATGTTTCACATAGCCACCAAAACACACATACATACGAAGTACTTCTTAAATATACTAGATAAATAAAGATAGTGAAAATCCAGAATATTATAACCGGTTATTTTCTAGTAATAAGTTGTTATGATGTGATCAAATCAATGGATTGACTCTTGATCGTATCATGCATAGACATCCTCTTCGTATAGTAATAATCAAGGGTTAATAAATGGGACCAATATAATATTTACAGGGTCCATATTATTATTTGTACAAATAATCCAAAGTTGTCAAAGATTTGGGAGTGTTTGGCAATATGTGTAGCATCACTAGCATGGGATTTAATTCATTCGTGCAGATCATTCATATGGTGGGTAGTCCAATTTATCGGCGGAATTTTAAATAATCGACCTTAGTTAAGAGGCGTCGTATATGCATGTTATCAAAGATAAATTTCACGTGATTATATACAATATACTTCAATACTTCAATTCCATGACAGAAGCTAGAACCTTGGTTGATTTAATCCAATTATCTGAATTGTCCACAACATATAAATAGAGGGACTAGATTCAAACTTGTTTGAGTCGATTTTATTATGTTAAATTCATAATCTAGTCGTCAAACACTAACTCTCAAGTCCTACTTATACAACAAAGTCATATTGGCTCTACTGTCTAAAAGTCATCCTTCAACAATACTTTAACGTTTAAGACTAAAATCTCATCGACTATTACTCCATATAATGATATCGGTCCTTAGCAAACTAAAAAAACAGATCACTTAAATGTCACATAATTATATTCCGATGGCTCAGTGGCCAGTAGCATGCATCACTTTTACAAATTTAGGAAAGACAAGGACTGTAGTGATATTCTAAATTAGACAAAATTACAATCAAGTATTGTTTTCTCAATTAACACAATTACTCAATTATTTACGACACTTTCGGTACTAGTAATAATTGCTTGACAGCAAAATAAGTTGGACCTCAATTAGTTTTCATTCATGGAACCTATATGGGATACTTCATTACTACAGGATAACTATGCAACAATTTGATTAGAAAGTGGGGAGTTTTACATCATGGAATGGAATGTGATACTTCCTTTGTCTAACCAAACGATCGGCTTCTTAGAAAGTCAGAAGTTACACGAAATCGAGCATACTTACAGGTTAGCAATAAACCATAACAAGCAATGATCTTTCACTAACCACACAGGCAATCAATCATTAATCACAATTGCCTAAAATTAATTCAAATTAGAATCTTCAATAATGGAAAATTCAGGTGATTTACGTATATGATTTTGGTTCTACATGGATATGTGGTGGAAAGGAATTGTGCCGAAAAGCAGAAAAGGTGAGTTTAGTGGATTGTTGCCATATCAGGATCAAGACCGAGGAAGGCTTTCCAAATCCTTAATGGGTACTGATTTTTGCAAAGTTCATCAAGGTTTTGCGGACAAGATTTTTTTGGTGGTTGCCTGGCCTCTATTGGTGCGTAAAACAAATGTGCAAATGAATAATGGATAGCACCCAAATATAACTAAAATATAACAAAAAGATTTCCACAAATTTGTAAATTTACATTTCAATAGGCTTTCCTCTTACAAAAGGTACCAAAAAGATTAAAAAAAAAAAAAAAAAAAAAAAAAAAGCACAAGTTATTCCACTAGAGCTATGCTTAGTTGAATAGTCGATTGACGGGCAAACATCCAAAATGTAAAGTTTCCAACGACCATGATCCAGTCAATTTCTCTAAGGCCTAGATAAAAGAAAATTATGCTGCAGGATGGTCATTGGTCAAGGATTTGAAGCAGGATGTGAATATAGTTCAAAGGACATCTGAAATGAAGTTCAAATGGTCCACAAGGTTTAATTTTAGGACCATTTTGAGGTCTACTAAAGGCCGGAGCAATACGCTTAACTAATTGCTCAACAAAGGGTCATAGAAAGAAATATTTTTTCATATAGCTTTTTTTTGCTTAACTGGAATTATTCTTACTCATAACTTATTTCAATCAGCCAAGGAAAATAATGGCTAAGGCCTTAAGCTAGAGGTTAAATTATAAAAAAATAAAAAATATAAGGCCTTAAATAGTAAACCTTTCAAAATAAATGTTAGTGGAGGAAAAAAAAAACATATCACAATATCACTATAAATAGTCTTAAATCTTAATAGATCTGATAGGAGCTAAAAAGTTCAACTCGTGACTATAAATAGGTTCAAAACAGGGATATTAGGTTCAATGCCAAAAGAAGTTTTTCAAATTAAAAGAACATACTCTAACAACCTATTTGGCAACCAATTATAAATAGTAATAATGAGAATGAAGTTAATTGTAATTTAACAAGTGAAATAACATCCATATATCAGAAATATATATAAGCTCATCCTCAAACTTTTGTTTTCCTTCATATATGTCCATTACCACCCGATATCACTTCCATATATATGGTATGTATAATAATGTAAATTTGTGAAGAAAAAGAGACAATTTGAGGTTAATTACGAAGTATTACCATGGCCCATGAGAATGGATATTAAGTCTCTCATACAAATTTATATACAAATTTATTCTCAATACCATCATTTAATACAGAGTACTACTTACCAAATAGGTCGTGAGAGAAAAAGGTTTTCAAAAAGACTAGAGAAACCGGGCTATATCCGTTAAATCATCCAGAAAATAAAATTAAAATAAACAAAAAACGAAAGTGGAAAAGTGGGAAGAAGAAAGGCAGTCTGGCACCAACCGACAGTATTTCATTATTTCTTGCTCGGTCTAGTTGCATAATGATAAACACATTAAGCAGCCCAACACAAGTAATTAAGAAAAAACCTCAGTTTGATGATGACTAATACTACGTAGAAATCTTAGGACTTTTGCTACTTTTTAAGGTAATAGAACTATAGGGAGTAGAAAGGGTACCACTGTACCAGTGGGCGGTGGCTGGTTGATCTCAGATTTACCAACTATAGTTTCATCAGTTTAGATTACACCAGGAAAAACATCAAAAAAAATTCTAAGCTAAAAATATCGATGACCAAACTGATGAAACTATACCATCCGTTTTTTAAGCCTGGAAACGGATGGTATTGAGTTTTCAGGCTAGTTGAAGGTATTGTCGTAATGCAACTCCATCCCCAAACTTGTCCATCTATTCATAAATTTTCATCACTTTCATATCATAAATTTTCAGAATGTAAATCATACATAATTTAGCAATCTCACAACTTGAATCTTAGGAATCACACATGATAATCATATGGTAATTAATCTAGTTCCTCGTTATCATAAGACCGTTGATACAGCAGCCTTCATATTGCATAGAGTATCTATAGCAAAAGAATGTTTCACGTTATACTATAACTCTATAAGACATTCAATACAGCAAACTTCACTCATTTCAGGAGTACAAACAAATCCACATTAAAGGGTCCAGTCCAACAGTTAGAAACTAGGAAAGACCAAATTGGTTAGCAATTAATTAGAGATAATATAAAAAGTTGATTGAGGGAAGGAGGAAGTGAAAGTGATTCAGATTACATAGATCTAGATAAATAAAAAGTTCGAAGGTAGCTAAGTTGAACCTCAAGGATAACTAAAATACGGGACCCTTGCTTCAGATCAGATCAAATCAAATCAAATTTACATTTATCCACAAGTTGGTTCAAGGTGTCCATGTAATGCTATGGCAAGAGATACTTATACCACCAAAAAGAACAATGAAGGATTCAGGGAGAAAAAATTCATAAGATAAAAGTGCCCTCCTCAATCATATAAATACTCAATAAAAAAAAAAACTCAAATAATTTGGCATTTTTTGGCTAATAGGCCCAAGAGAATAAACCAAAAACTAGAATAGCCTCATCAAAAGAAAAGCTCCCCTCCTTTTTAATTAGTCTAAAAAAAAGTAGCTAAATTTTTTTTGGTCATTCCAAGTGCATGCAAATTAATCTTGCTTTCTCATACTTAGACATATTACTACTTCCACAAATGAGATTATGAGGATGCTAATTAGATTAGTTGGTAATGAGTTGAGATCAAATCTATTCCACACTAGGGTATGGATCATAGACCAAAATAAAAGACTTCTCATAACCTCCTTTTTGCCCGCATACAACATTGTACATGCATTGCATAATCAGCCAAATAATAGAATGCAGAATGCATATAATAATGTTTCATCACATATAATACTCGCCATTAAAAGGCACACGTTCAATACGGAGTAGTTCATATCTCAAAAGGATTAGCATTAAAAAAAAATCCCTTAGTATTTTAATTCCACTTCATATCTTTTCGAGTATCATGTTTGGCCTTAGAAAAAACGTATTTTTTCAAGTTAATCAGACACATAATAGAATTCAGAATGCATATAATAATGCTTCACCAAATAGACAAATATAATACTCATAACATTAAAAGACACATTCAATACGTAGTAGTTCATATCTCAAAAAGATAAGCAATAAAAAAATTTCCTTAGCATTTTAATCCACAAATAGATCTAATAGCTACATCTTTTCAAGTATCATGTTTGGCTTAAGAAGAAACGTATTTTTTCAAGTTCCACATTATAATACTACTAAGAGCACATATTTAAAAAATCAATTTTGTCATTCTCCCATGAGTCCCATCACAATTTTGGGTAATCACTATAAATTACAAGTAAAGAATTTCATTTAAGATTCCCACCACAAAATATGATAGTATTTAGAGATTACCGACCCCATCCACGTCCAACAGCACAAAACGCAATTGGACCCACACCCCACCTACTAATAAACTTTGATGGAGAAAATAAATGCTTACGTTATACCTGCTGAATGGAATTGTCACAATATCGCACTCTCCCTCACACTAGTGCAGAAAATTTTAATGCAGATAAACGTGCACAACATCATATAGCACTAATCAGCTTGTGTAATAAAGCAAAAGTTTTGGAGGGAGTAAATGTTCAAAGCAACACTAGGATATCATTTTTCACAAATTCTATAGCAAAATCTATTACATAATCGCGTTCATCAGTTATTGAACAAGCCTTTCAGCATTGGCTCTACTGTTGCAGAAGAGTCAATTTATAGTTCAGCAGAAGAGTCGATCTACAGCCCAAGACTTAACCACCCCCACCCTCACCCCGCCCCTTTTTTCAAAAGTTTAATTATAAAGAGCAGTTCAATGAAAAAAAAAAAAAAGGAATAACAGAAGAAAGGCATGGTACTTGCTCTACAGCTTCAGAAAGTAAGGCCAGTCCAATGTATAATCTACTAGCTTGACATATAAAATGGCAATAAAATTCTCCTCTACTTTAAAAATCAATAATAAATATGTTGGCACCCAATATAATACGCAGAAACAAAAACCAACTATGAAGAGCTAAGAATTCCTTAGAAATTGTAAAAATCTACTATCCAACTCAACATATTAACATATAATTCCATGCTGAAATTCAAGTTTTTAACAATTTTTCTCAATATAGAATTTGTAGAGCTTTTCTACTGAGATTTGATTTCTCAATTTCTTTTTCAATATACTACTTCCTTTTGTCCCAAAATAAAGATTATCTTTATTTTTGACAGACATATTAAGGCTTGTCATGTAACATTGTAACTAATACGCTTTTTAGTACTCTATAGATCAGCCTATATTATAAATATCAATAATTCCAAACAGCCAATCATTAAGGGGATATATTTAACAGTAATACCTCGAAAAGGAAAGAATAACTTCATTTTAGGACATTCCAAAATAATAATAGGAACTTTCTTTTAGGACATAACGAATAATTAATACTCATAATACACAAATTAGGAAGGGCATGAATTCTTGCTAGAAGAGGACGGCAATCTAAGTACCATTCTCTCCAGTGACAATCAGACAGTGGACACAAGGAGTCATCAAAAACTAATCCTAACAATGGCTCCTTGATAACTACCTAAGCTTTTCAACCCTTGTAAACACAAAGGTTATTTCATCTATTATCTACTCATTAATCATGATAATCATGACCCTCAAATATCGATTCTTCAGGAAGGAAAGGCCAAACACTAAGGTTGCATACAGGTACATATCACGAATGTCACTATCAGAGGCTCCTTAAAAACAACAAGTAACATATATTAAACCCAAAAACAGGAATAACAGTGATAAAAATAGATCCTATTATGCGACAAAGTCCTAGATTCCAGGAGCCATGGCATCAATCAGTAGTGTTCAGACACTTGTGTTCCTCAAACAGACAATTACACAATATTCCAAAATAACATCAGAAACAATAGAATTAATCACATCCTTCACCCTCAAATATGAGCACAAAAAACCAAAGAGGCAGAGTATGATAAAACAATATATTAGGCATCATTAAAAGCCATATCATGCTAGATCTAATCTTTATATAATATGAATGCTTAGCATACCTTTTGAATAAAGCAAGTGGTCCAGTCCTAGTATTTTGAGAGCTTGATATCAGCTTATAAAGGATTACTATTTTTATCTGGATTTTTCCTTTGTGGTGGTTACAACACTAGCTGCACAAGATAAGGAGTGGCATAAATTATTCAAGATAAACAATAATTAAGTTGAAGAATTACATGATATTCCACATCTGATCACGAACAAGGCCAGAGATAAAGCAAACCAGCTAAACAAACTGATAAACAGGCAAAAAACAAGAAGTGGCATCAGCATTATATTATTATTTTGTCATATCAGTTATTACTACTTCGTATCTTTCTGAAGTATTTTTGTGAGGAGGGTTCAAGAGGCTGGGAGAGATCAATAAATAATAATGCAGACGAGTTTATCTTATCTTTTGTGGTTTGTAGTCAAAAGAGTCTCTTTTGGCTGCCTCCTCATACCAGATGCGTTAAAATTCAAGGTTAAGTTATGAGTCACACATTCACACTCCATGTGTGATTAATACATCATGCTGGTTCATCTTCTTGAAATCAATTTCACTCTCATTCCACTATATTGATCCCTAAAGATATGATAGAGCATCTAATTTTAGAGCTGGCAAAAGCTGACATGAACAAGACACACACAAAAAAAAAAAAAGCAAGTTAGTGTTATGGGTTTCCGAGTCGTTTAATTAAACTGGTCAACACGACATGACACGTTTAATTAAATAGGTCGAATTAGTGTTGAGATTTCCAACACGAAATTGACACGACTTATCCCACCTAAGACGAATAACAAATAATTTAACATAATTTCAAAATCCATACAAAATCTTTAGTACGAGCCAACTTTATTTTATTCGACACAAATCGGACACAAAGAAAAAGCAAGTAAGTGTCAAAGGTTTCCAACTTGTATAACTAAGCAGATGAACATGATATGACACGTTTAATTAAACAGGTCATGGGTTAGTGTTGAAGTATTTCAACTCGTTTATCTTTGACACGAACACAAAAGCAACCCGATACGACATGTTTGTCAATTGTATCTAATTGATTAATGGATCATTCTTTCAACACTATGACAAATACAGTGCTAGCATCCCTACCACAAACAAGGTATTGGAAATTATGCCAATGGCTTATAAAAATACCATATCCCATATAGTGACATCTTCCCATCTTACAATTTCACAGTGCTTCCTTATAGTTGCCTAAGTAAATAATTTCTAGAAGAGAAAAGAATATTGTAAGCTCCTACGAAAGTAATTGTAACTTTGTAAGCCATGGAGATCCACAGCTTTTCTCTGTTTTCAACCAAGTATCTCAATTCCAGATCTCTAACAATAATTGAAAGTTAAGGCACATTCGAAGAAACTAAAGCACAGGGGTTAGCAAGTAATCTAAAAAGGGAGAAAAGCATTTAAATTGGAAAGCAATGATAAATACATTGTAGACAATAAGCAAGTCAATTTAGAGCTCTTCAATTACTAGTTATCACAAACATTCACAAGCACCAAAAACAATATCAATCTTTTTTTTTTTTTTTGAATAACTAAAAAAAAAAATGAAAATTTGCTATTCCATAAGAGTACACCTAGGCACCTAGCTCAACGCAAAATCATCCAAATTGGGAGCCTTAACATAAAGAAACATTTTATGAATCCACTTAGTTAATATTATCTCACTAGAAACTTTTAAAACCACACATCAGCCGTCAAATAAGATTATCGAAAGCAAAGAAATTAATTGTCTATCTTTTCCTGGAATTTTAAATATTATCTCAGTTTCTAGATGAAACTGCTACAACCCCAATCATCAATATACTTAACCAAGGACATAAGTAATCAGAGTAGTAGTATCTTTGTCATAAAAGAGGACGGCATCACATCTACTCATAGAAATTGCAGTGCTTGAAAAAGCATTTCATCTTAAATGTTCAGAGCTATGTGTGTGTGTGTGTGTTTTTTTTTTCCTCTTTGCATGGAGAGCTATTAGATGTGAATTTATAGCAAATATTACTGGTGCAGAACAAGAAAAAAAATGCAGAAAAAATCAGAATAAAAGTTATTAAGTACATTAATACCTCTGTTTTACTAGTTGTCATAATTGACCATAAATGCATAAACATTGAGAAAGTCAAAAGACCAATAAAACTATAAAGTACGAAGTGATGTTGTAAGGAATAATGCTTCAACACATAAAGAGAAAGATTGTAACTATGGTAGCAACATTAAACATCTCAAATAGAAAAATACGACAATCATAGTGAAACAGAGGGAGCATATAATTATAAACAAAATAATTAGATGTAATGGAGGAAGAATGACTACTTTCTGGTGGAGAAGAGATGAGAAACAAAAATTAAAAAGGAAGGAATTAAATAAAGCTGACCAATCTCTTTGTACAAGGCCTCTACAAGCCTACGCATATACAACTCAAAATAAAACCAAGAGGTTGGATATCAGGGAACTTTATCATTGGTATACAATATTTGTCTAATTGTCTTCCTAAACAATCTTTAACCAAATTAAAAGTAAACAAAAAATGATAGAGAGACTAAGAGGCTGAAATATGGAGAAATATTATCTCATGCTCATTCCACACTGCATGAACCAAGTACTTCTACTTCCCAATCATTAATTGTTTACATTTCTTAATCAATCCAAGCACTAGATTCTCGAAGGAAAAAAAGGAAAGAAAGAAAATAAATAATATATAGGCAATACTCTTCGTCAAATCATCAATTCCTTTATGATAGTATATTAATGAATGTAAATCTAATTCTAATTCCTTTCTTATTGCTTTATTAGATGTTTAAGATCATAGCATCCTTCACATAGTAAAATGTAGTTATCAATATATACCAGCTCCATTAGGATTAAGCATGGTATATCGATAATCACATAAATATCTGGAAACTTCAAAACAACTTTCTTCACTACAAATTCAGATAATCTATCAATATACTTAAGAAACTAAAACTTAAGAACATCATTGAATTATAAGCTTCCATAGCTTGTCATTTCCATAATTGCAATCATTTAAAAGATTTATCAAATTAAAAAGGAATACTATTTTCTCTTTTAAGCAGAGAAAAGTCTACTGAAAAAACAAACTATCAGAGATTAATAGAGTAAATACTACTTTTAAGCTTTTGTCTTTATCTACTTTTCCTTTATCCCCAGCTTCATATGGGTGGCCTCCACCAAAGTCAAGGCATGCCAACAGCACATCACAATTTGGATGGGTAGGGCGCTGATCTACCAACTTCATAAAAAAAAGTAAATACCTTAAAAAAAATGACGGACACCAAAATAGATTTCCAGTTTTAGTTATTCCTTCAAATTTAACTATCTATTTTATATGATTAGAGTGACAAAATTGACAATGCTTTTGCTCAGATAAGTCAGAGAATAATTGTCAACTTGATTCTTTCAATGTCTCATCTAGAGCACAGGACTGGTGTGCACAAAATCACCCCCAACCCTCCCCCCCCCCCCCCCAATTTTTTTTTTTTTAAAGAAAAGGTAAAAGAAAAACTGAAAAGCTAGCAACATGAAACAAGGAACTAAAAAAAAAAAAAAAAAGGTTGTACAAACTACAGAGGCGACACTTAAAATTGCTGTACTTATGCATAAGCGTGACAATCAAACCGGTTCTAAAACAAATAATAACACTGTGACTTAATTTGAGGTTATACAAACTACAGACTTACAGAGGCAACACTTAAAACTGTTGTATCTGACTTCCTAACCGGCATAAAAACAAGTAATAGCACTATGACTTAATATGATGAGAACAAAAGCCAATCACATTAATAGCAATATATCAATTCTTCTAAAGATAAATTAATTTTTAGTGGCTTACATCACATGCATAAGTTGCCTATCAAAAGACAAAAGTGTGGGGAACACATGTAAGGTGATGATAAAATTCAGCATTTTCTTATAATATCAAGATTATCTTATAAGTTTTAAATATTGTAAATCGTTTAATATAAATATTAGTAGTATGTAGCAGGCTCCCCATGTATCCATAAGACCATTACTAGGTAAAACCAATCTTAGAAGAAGTTGGAGCAAAAGAAACTAAAACGTCAGAATGGTTCAAGAAGAAATCCGGAAAGGTCCATGGACAGAACAAGAAGACCTTCAACTGGTCTGCTTTGTGGGATTATTTGGGGACCGGCGATGGGATTTCATAGCTAAAGTTTCAGGTTTGAAGGTGGCGGGAGAAAAATGATAGGTATGCTTGTTTGAAGAATGGGGACCTTTTACAAGGAGCATCCATTTTAACCACAGTTTTCTTGTAGGTTTGAAAAGAACAGGTAAGAGCTGCCGCTTACGATGGGTAAATTACCTGCATCCAGGGCTCAAAAGAGGAAAGATGACTCCTCATGAAGAAAAACTTGTCCTTGAACTTCATTCTCAGTGGGGAAATAGGTATGTATTTCAGTATCCAACAGTAAAATTTAATAATTCAATATCTAATATCAACAAAATTATATATACATAAAAGTTCACAATCAAGCATTAGCTCAACAATTGTTAAGTTTACCTTCTGATTCCATGCAGATGGTCACGGATTGCCCGGAGATTACCGGGGAGAACTGATAATGAGATAAAGAACTATTGGAGGACACATATGAGGAAGAAAGCACAAGAGAAGAAGCGAGAAACATCTCCATCAACATCATCATCAACAACTACAACTACAACTACATCAAATTTCTCCACTTCATCAAACAATCAAGCAGTGAATTCAAAAACTGCTACTGAGACAACAGAAAGCTTTGACAGCACAGTAGTTCCTGATACATCAGCTCTGCAAGGAAAGAAATATCAGAAAGATGAGAGCGGGGAGGAAGAAATTTATTCCATGGATGATATATGGAAAGACATCACTTCAGAAGAACCAATAAAACCAGTTCTTGATGGCTACCGTGAAGGAAGCAATTTTTCTTGCTCACCAATGGTTTCTCCTTTATGGGAATATTGTCCAGACACACTATGGAGAATGGATGTAGATGAATGTAAGATGTTTTCCCCCCCTGATCAGTTTGTTCCCAGTTGCCAACAAAAGAACATGTCATTAACTGGTTAATTTAGCGTAATTATATTATCTATGTCAAAATAGGTAATATCATGTCAATGAAACTTTGACCTGTATAGTAAGGGCCCATAATAGAAAACTTAGCTCTCTTTCACCACCCATAGTCCAATGAGCATTGTAACAATATACATCTAGCCCTTAGGTAGTGCCTATTTTCACTTTCTAGTTCCTGGTTTTTGTATGAGTTCCAATAAGTTGTATGTGCCTTGAAAACAATGTATCATAAGCATATCACTTATGTTGAAGTTGAAAGAGAAAGTATATTCATGTATTCCACTATCACCCTCCAAAATTGTATCTTCTTTCCCCTTGTTTGTGTATGATATGTGCGTGTCCAATTACTTCAATATGTCACAAATGACAAAAATAACAATGCCACAATAACAGTTCTTTATGCTTGGGCATAAGAGAAGTGGAAATAAAAGAAGAGATGGATCATATTCTTTGTTTGAATAATAGTTATGGAAGAAACAGAGATGACATGTCCTTCAAATACATCCTCTTAGAGCATATAAAGCCATGAAGTTAGTACTTAACCTGCCTTCAACTTGACCCTCTCTTTCCATCCCCTTATTTCCCTTATTCTTTGTTCAAATTGACTCATTTTTTCACTCTATAAACAATAATCATACATGGATGCATGGTTTGAAAGTGGCAGCCAGAGTTCCTACAAATTGAGAAACAATCAACCAGTTGGTAAGCATTATGTTTATTATGAAGTGATTGTGTGATCTTTTAACGGAATTTCATTAAAAGGATGTACAAAACATCTGATTCACTTAGTTTCCTACCCCTGCTCTTCTTTAGGGTTGGTTATCTTAGTTCTAAATTCTAATTCAGGCTTCATACTAGTAGTTTCATACTTTCATTGAGCAATGTGACAGTGTTAACAATGATTTTCAACAAGATGATTTAATACGATCACTGTCAAGAGATACAAATTTGGAAAAAGGAAACAAAAGATTCAGAATAGAAAGATGAGTAAATGAATATATTTTCATATACTGGCTGAATCTGATACAATTTTTTTCATGTTAAAAAAAAAATAAAAAAAAAAAAATCAAACCTTTCAAAAATTAGTAAAGGAGAGGTAAACATTAAAAATTAATTAATTAATTAATTAAATAATTAAAATTGTGAATAGCAGAGATTGGAGCCTTATTTTAAATTACACCCAAGTCCAATTTAATTCTTCATACATGCAAATCATCATAGTCTAAAAAAATAAGTGTTTCATCAAATGGAAAAACCTGACAAGTGTTAATGGGAATGAGTTTGTATATAAATTAATAAATTTTTAAGAAAAGCCCTATGTCAATGCCAGTTTCACCCCCTCTTATTCTTCATAAATTTTAAATACCATATATTATCACTCAAGGGGTAATAGCCATGATTGGTGAAAAATTACAAATTTAGAGACGTGATAGCAATACTATGTAGGGCTAAGCAAAACTACCCAAAAAACCGAAAACCCAAAAATTCGATCCGTAACCGTTCCGAAGATCAGATAACCATAACGGTTCAGATACCCGTTCCGATAATTTGTTATCGGGTATGGTTATTGGATATTATTTTAAAATTAACGGTTACCCGATTTGATCCGATAAGCAATTATTTGTTTTTTTTTCCTGCTTAAATCTATTTTTCCAAAATCTAAACTCTTACTTTACTTCATAATCACTTTATAATATCAATGATTAGTAATATTATTAATACTTTGGTCTAAGATCATGTAGTATTGTTGTTAATTAGTGTTAAATGATATTATAATAACTACATTATTAAGTTTAGTTATCATTATTGGATATTTTATTGGGTACCCGATAACCAATCCGAAAATTCAGGTACCCGGATTTATCGGTTCGGCTTATGGATATCACTTTCAATGATATTGGTTATCAGTTATCCAAACCATTAGTATTAACGGTACGGATACCCATCCCATGCTCACCCCTAATACTATGGACATTAGGAAGATACTTTCTAATCGAACTTATACGTCAATTTATTCATGTTTTCACCTGCCAAACACGTTGTAAAGGTTATTAGATCGGATTTCCTTAAGCTTCAATATTATGTGATGGTGTTTCCCCACGTATGGAATTAAGGCTTTGATTGATTGATTATGTGATGGTGTTTAGAATGAGTAATGCCAAGTCATTTATAATGCCTAGGCAGGAGACGCAAAATCCATGACAAATGTTAAAAAAAAAAATTAAAATAAATAAAAAAATTAAACTCTTTGATAATGGTTAAGACAAAACCACTACGCTCTTGTTTCTACCAACTTCATTACTAAGGCTGTTGAAGATGATATAACAGCACAAAGTGGTTTAAAAAAGAAGCATCCTATGTTCCACAGCTGCAGTAAAGAATTTCTGGCTGGGTACTCCATTCAAAGTTCCTTATGTCTTATAGTAAAAATGTGTTAAAAACACGATACTTCCTCCTTACTCATACATAAATTTAGCATATTATCGTAGCATAGCAAATAGCCTTTTGTGTAATCTATGACAATCACTTTATTCTTTGTCCACCTAATACTATTATATTAAGTACCAACTAAAACGAAATTTGGAGTAAACAATTAAAATTGGAGTGATCTTCTTTTCACATAAGAATATATTAATTCTAAACCAACGTAGTGTCTCAACATGATATCTTCGTAGTGGTTCCGGTAGTCAAGCAAAAAAAAAAATAGTGAAATTTGAGCCAAAATAAAAAACTTATCAAAGAATGCCCCAAGAACACACGCACACACGCAATTAAAAAAAACAATTCCACTTTGATTAGTCAACTGTAGTGAGAATATTAACACAGGAATCTGAATAGAAATAGCACACATAAAGCTTCAATTCCTCCTTTGAGCTGGAAAAGTAAGCAAAAAAGCCATTTTTCCCTTTAAAGAAGCAAAACTTATCTTCTCTACATAAAAAAAAATAGTATACTCTATTCTTTACATACTATTCCCATCAAGCATCAACTTAGCAAACTGAAACGACTTAAGTCACGTCTGATAAGAAAAGATAACAATGTTGATAACTCGGGACCGCAATGGCGCATAAATACACTTAATGACGACAAATGATGGCGAAATTTGTGGTTTTACGTGTTTCGGCTGAATTATATTCCAACTACAAATCATTTGTTCTTCATAGATCCCTATCAATTTTAACTAGTGGTTTCTAATCATGATTCCGAGATTATGTTCTGCATTCTACAATCACAGAAACATTGGACTTTCCTAATGCAATACTATCTCTTACTCCGTATTATTTAGTAGGCTAGTAGCTACCCCACTTCCTTCGTCAACTAATTCGGGAATTTCAACCTAGAAAACTCCAAATTTTCATGTAAATCCCAATAAATTCACATAATTTTAATTAAAATCGAAGTTTTAACAACAATTGTAGTAAACACAATTATAAATACCTAAAAAAACAACGGATTGCAGATTTACAGAAAATTGTAAAGTAATCGTCATAAATTTGAAACTACCTTCATCAAATGAGCATAATTCACCGATTTAGGACGCCATTGTAGAAGTCGCCACTAATTAAAATCTGATAATCAACAAAAAAATTTGAACAATTAATTGAAGATTGGAGGAAGATTAAAGGAGGAGAGAGAGAGAGAGAGAACGTGAAGGTACCAATGGCGCGAATATTTTAGGGCTTGATCGACTCGATGACATATTGACATTACAGAAGCTCCCGCGTAAAGGTTTTTCGGTTGAAATTTGGGTGGGTCTTGTTTTTTGTTTTACTGCAAATAGAAAATTGTAGAAAACTAGAAATAGTTTACCTCGTAAATTGTACGAGCACTCCACATAAATACTCGTCCTAGTTTTTTCTAGGTTAGGGCCGGAACATCTCACATGTCCTCTTAGGCTATCGACTCGAATTAACGAGTTAGGCACGTTTTTTCACTTTTAAAGTGTCACTAGTAGACTTTGATTCCACAACCTCATAATTATAAAATGCAAACTTTTTTTTGCTTGGTTCTAGTACTTCATACATGTGACGTTAATACTTAATACGTTATATATGTAACGTCCAAATGCATAAAAGTCGAATCATATCAAAATTTAGACACTAAAATTAAAATAACATTAATAATAAGGGTTTTGTTGTATTTTGACTGGATAAACGTGTATTTGAATTATTATGATTATTATACCCCTTCCATTAATTTTTTGATTGTTACTTTCGGATTTTCGTAGTGAGAAAAAGGAACTTTAAATACTCTCTTGAAAAACTTTTGTTGGATATGAGAAAAAACACACCCATGTAATAAATTGTTAGATTTGATTCGATGAGTAATTTCAAAACATTATTTCTTCATATATTTTTTTTATAGTGTGTATGTGAAAATAATAATGTTTAAATTTTAAATACATGTATCGGTAACTGCATAGAAAGACATCAAGTGAGACAAACAAAAAGAATAAGTCTAGTAAAGTCTTATCATGAGTATTCAATTATTCATAATTCCTATGTTTATAATTTTTTGCCCTATGTTCAAATTTTACTTACCAATTAAAGTTTGGTCTAGTCGTAAGGTTTGTCACCTCACAACCAAAAGGTTACGATGGGATCAAATTCTACTAGAGTCAATTTAGAGTGGGAATTCCCTTACCATTTTCCCCCACTCACAAAGAGTCTAACTCGCTAACCCGAGTCGGGTTAACCCATGAAAGGTTCCAACCCGGTAGGGCCCTTCTCCTTACCATAAAATAAATAAATAAAGTTAACTTAGGGATGACTTGAAAAAGAAGAGAAAATGAGGCAACTAGCTAGAGAGGAATTAAAGAAGTTAACTTAGATAAAATGATTTTTGTTGTTGTTGAATTTTTATTTTTATTTTTGACAAGAGCAAATGTATTCATTAAATCAGAGTTTACAACCTGTAGAACAAGAACTTAAACTTAAACTATGGCTTTTAACACTAAAGTCGTTACAACAACTTTTGAAATTAAAGACAAAAATAAACTTGAATTGGCCGGATAAGTCGCAGATAAGGGACTCCTTATAAACCAAGGAGCAAAAACATACTACATTCCATGAAGAGAGCAACAGAGGGGATCGAAACTGTTTGACCATGGCTAGCACTTCCTCACCTGGCGAGATCAACTCATCACCAAGTAAGGTCATCAAACGAGTCACTTGAACTAGTGACCTTCCAATCAATAGCTTTCCTTGTTGGCAAGAAAGCTTTGACAACGTTGAGGCTCGAGAAACCCCAAAACAAAGTTTGGGCGTCTGCTTCAGATAATAAGAATCAGGAGTAATGACCAAAAAATTCATTACATCCGAGGAAAGAGAAACCAAACCCATACCACTCCAACAACATACACACTTCACCTTAGCCAAGGCCAACTTCTTGTTCAAACCCCCAACAACCGCACCTGTAACTTCTCTTACCACAGTAAACACCCCACTGTCCGTAACAAAGGGGCTTAACTCCCACTGCACACAACCATCCAAAATACTATAGCCAAAACAACTAAATAGCCCGGAAAACAACCAACGGGGGATAAAACATACCATCACAAAAACTAAAGCAAGTAAACTCTGATAAATACTAAGAACAAACATACTTAAGAAATGGAACAAACTAGAGGAGAGCACCGTCCAACCCGACAACCCAAAACCACTTACACTAGGAACCTCGAAACCCTAGCCCTAACTTCACCGTTTCCGTCACTAACTACTCTTGACGGCGGCGTTAGACCTAGCCCTCCAGTGCAAGGACCCACGAAACCCTAAACCTAACTTTACCGTTTCCGTCACGGTCAAAACTACCGATGACCTTTATGACGGCGGCGTTAGGCCTAGTCCTTAGGCCTTGTTTCACCGGCGGAGAGACCCTTTGAACAAACACAAACCTTCCACATGAAGGTGGGCAACGACGACGGAGGGGGACGATCTAACCACTCCCTGAGAACCTTCGAAACTTAGAAAAGGCTCTCACGACGACCCTCGCACGCCCAATACAAGAAGAGAGAAGAGAGGAGACCTCGCCGGAGAAACGGCTGCGGCGCCGGATCTCCGGCGAGCCTAGGTTTCCGGCAGAAAGTTCTTTGGAGGAGGAGAGAGAACAGAGAGTTTGGGGGATGAGAGAGAATAATTTTTAGTTAACCTGTTGTTGTTGTACTTGCTTGTCATTAACTTCATATATTAAATGTTGTACCTGAAAATTTGAACATCTATAGCAACAAGGAAAGCGATAGGAAACTAATTTGCTGGGAAAAATCTTAATCCACTTAGAATTGTGAAGGGTAGATTATGCATCTTACATAAAAATATATAGAGTAGTTGATAATATCATTAAAACAAAGGTTTATAAGCTAAGTGTAATCTAATTCAATGATAAGTACACATGTTTTTTTTTTTTTTTTAAAAAACAAAGAAATTTGTTTTCTTTTAATAATATCGTTTAAGTTATGATAAAATTAGGTGCACTTGTTATAAAGACAACTGGTATAATACAAACTTATCAATCGATGCATAATTTTAATCAAATAACACTTTAATTGTCTTTCAAAACTATACATAAAAAAATAGTAGTTTGAAAGTATATACACGACCCAAATTCTTCTTCCTTCATACTTCAGAACATTCACAAAATATGATACGGAGTAAAATTATATATTCGTAGTTTTTAAATAGCATAAAAATTTAAATGAAAGTAAATGTAGTCCGTACTTTGTTTCACAATAACTGATGCCCAAAATGTTGATATTTATTTATTTTTGATGGGAGATATGGTTGGTATTATCCATTTGTTACTCATAAATTTTAAAGCTTACCTCCCAAAAACACAAAAAAAAAAAAAAAAAAAAAAAAAAAAGCTTTCTCACCAAAAAAATTGCAGTATTTACCAGAAAAATCCCCAGCTCTGAATTTCGCAATTTTTTTTAGCAACAATGCCTCGTTTGTCCAATTTATACCTCTTCACTTACAATTTTGCTCAAACTATTGGTTGGTAATTCCTCTACAAAACCCTTCATTTTACTCTACAGCAATCATCAAAGTTTGTTATGATTATATATTGTAATGCATGAAATATTTTCATTTTTCCTAGCACTGCATATTATAATTAATCGTCTTCTATTATTGCAGGGCAGTTGCATTGATACAAATTTTAATAGGGTTTACTTCCACTAAATCTTTCAATGGGGCCTTTGCTTCTTCTGGGCAAATAATTTGTAAGTACTTTTTTTTTTTTTTTTTCTAAATGCATTTTTTCTGAGTTAATTACATTAAATTAATTTGATTTTTGTGGGTGCCAGGTTTATTGCAAAAAGCTGCATTCTTGGAAGTTATACATGGAGCTTTGGGTATTGTTCTTCTATCATTTTCTTACTAAGCTAATATGTTGTTATTATGGCTGTAGTTTTTACTCATTGTTTAGTAATATCTCAGTTTCACAAAGATGGCTGCACTTTGAATTATTTGATTATCGTTATGATTTGTTTGTTCTTGATTTTGTTAGATTTGTCTCAACATGTATTTTCGACATATGAACTTTTTATTATGTTTTAGAGATATTAATGCTAAAAGATTTACATGGGCAAATTTGAAAATGTAAAGTGTAACCATCTTCATGAAATAGAGGGAGTACTACTTTGGTCGGATTTAGTTGTCATAGTGCTGATTTGAATCGTACCATTGACGTGACAATTGTGTTTAAATGGAGCGAATATTATAGGAGTATGTAGTTGTGTCTCATGGTAGTTGCACGTTTCATTTCTGTGGTAATGACAGGTATTGTGCCAAGTGGAGTGTTGTTGCCTCTAATGCAGTGGGGAGGAAGAAGCCATTATCTTCTGGCAATTGCTGGGAAAATTGTTGAGGTTTTAGCTTGACCCCCTTGTATACATCTTTTGAGCTTCATTTAATTACTTACTACCAACGGAGGTAGTATGTGTTTACATGCCTTTTATTCAATGTTTTATGAGGGAGGTTCTAATTGTGAGTTACTACTTTTTGAAAATCTTTGCAGTTACAAACGTCTCCCTCCATTTTCATAACGTTTGTTGCCTGGAGCATCAGTGAAGTGAGTTACTTCAACTTATCTCATCCATCTAAATTTTCTGCTTGAACCTGTGTTCCAAGCCCCCAAATCATTTTTGGACTAAGGCTTTGTTGTTATTGTTGTAAACTGTGTTCCAAGCCATATACTCCTCCTACACAACTTGTCATTATATATGGAGTGGAACTCTTCACTTTTGTTACGAATCTGCATTGCTAGACTAGACACAGTTGAATCAACCTTAACACTTTTTAGTTTACTCCATTGGCTTGAGAAGACCACTTTAAAGTATTGTTCATTTCACCAGAGTCTAAGAGAAGAGAGGGGGGGGGGGGTGGAGGGTGGGGGGATCAAAGTTTTCTAATAAGTTCAATGAGTTTAGCTAAAGATTGAGCTAATAAGTTCTTGACTAATAAGCTTAGGTAGTTTAGTTCAGAGCTTATAATTCATCTCCCAAAAAATAAGGTGCTACAGGTCCATTTTATGCCCAATAAGTTTTTTGGGCTGTTAAGTACAGTTTTGGTTGATGAGTTAGCTGAATTTAGATAAGTTCAATTCAGAGACTCTAGCAGTTTTCAGGTAAAAGAACAAGCCTTAGATTGGTGTATCTTTAATTATGCTTGAAACTGATTTTCTTAGGACATTTTTATTAGCTACATGCTCATAGCATTCTTTTATCTGTCCAAATCCATAATATCTACGAATAGACATCAATGTACAAATGTTGGCCAATCTGTCTTTAAATAGGAGTACTAGGGATAATGTAGCTGGCTACTTTGTGTGTCTTAAATTATGCTTACTACTTTACTAATAGAATAGGAGGTATAGGACCAACAGGTTCTTGATTCTTTCCAAAGGGGGATCATGTTCAAGGAACTTGACAAATAAATGTTTTGTCTAATTCTGAATCTTTGGGATCACACCAGTTCAAGAATCCTTGACGTGTAGATCATAGATTAAGTCTTTGACAATGTTGGTGATGCTGTTTTGAATTGGGAGGAGTTTTGTGATGTAAAAAGGAACTGACAGGAGATGCACTCAGTTGTTTTAGGGATAGTTAAGTTATTATCAATATTCAACTGTATATGGCAGTCACAACCACTATCAGAATAGATTAGCAGTATCACCTCAGCATCAATGCTGGAGGAGCATTAGCATTTTTTAGACTTTTGAGATTCCTCAGAAAGATGCAGAATCAGATTCTTGTAAAGTGGTACATGCTATTTTCTGATGCATTCCTATAATTGCCTTAAACAAAAGCCCCATAGATTAAAAAAGAGAAGGCCGGTAAGATAGAATTTGACACTTGTGAATATAAGAAGAGATCAGAAAATCATTCATGGATGAAGCTTCTTGACTAACTTGAAGGGACTTGTGACTCTGTAGTTGTTTTTCACAAACTCTTGATGTGTTTGCCCTAAATTAGTATCTCAATTCGCAGTTCATTATATCCTGTGCTATAGTTTGAGACCTTTACTGATTGATAGAGTGTAATTGTAAGACAATCATAGAATAATATTTAATGTAATCAAAGTAGGATGATGAAAAATCTTGTAGCATAGACCAAAGTTTGCATGTGAAACATTTACACTGGGATGGATTATGCTAGGCGTCACTGTTAAATCATCCTATAGGACCTTAAACGTACAGTTTTGCCTTGTTATCATGCACTTTTTACTTGATAAGGGCATAAAGGTTAGATTCAGTGAGCATTCAAATGCTCATTCAGAGGCTTTGGCTCAGCTTTATTTGAGTTCCTTTGATGATCTAATATTTTTGGTTTTGCAACTGTTGCTGCCATTACACATCCATTCATCACCTGTTCTAATTTTTCTTTGGTTATTTCATTTGGGAATAATCTAATGCTCATAATTTATACAGATAATTAGGTACTCGAACTATGCATTGAGTTGTATAGGAGATTGTCCATATTGGTCAACTTATGTCAGGTTTGCTCAATTCCTTATATAAAGCTCTTGCTTTCTGTAGATAAATGTGTAATCACTTGCAATTCTATTGCCAAGTATCTAACTATCCTTGTTCATTTGAACAATTGCCTATGTCAGGTACACTGTTTTCATCCCTCTGTATCCAGTGGGAGTTGCTGGTGAAAGTAAGTCCGCCTTTCATATCACTGTATTGGCTATTTGGCTTTCTTTTCCTTGTATGTTTAGTTTGTAACATGATATAGAATTGTTTAGCTTCTTTTGTATTGTTGCTGCTCAGCTCATTCCTTAAGTGTGCGTAAAGTAGTTGTTAATAGTGTTGATTTTCATATTTCAGTGTGGCTCATGTACCAAGCACTTACTTACATAAAGGAGAAAGACCTTTACAGAGATTTTTTCAGTGTCCTCCCTTTCAGCTATCACACTTTTGTTCAGGTAATTCATAACTTGCTTTTCAATATGCTATGATGCTCTTCTTTAATACCAGGTTGAGGCATTCCTACTCTACTGTGGGCCTGACATGTTTTAACCATCTTCTCATGCTCTAGTTTTGGTTATAGCCTCAGGGCATAAAATTTGTAGTGTCCAAACACTTGGCATTTAAAATACGAATGTTTTACTTGGTTACAATCTAATTGTTTTATACCTTGTTTTGGTTTCCTAGCAAGCAAATTACCAGACTAAATGTTGAATTACTTTACTTGTTCAGTGCACTTTTGCACATTATTTCTTTAATATGAAGTATGTAACAATATCATACGAAAGGCCATTTGTTTATGTCTAACACTAAGATGATCCTTTTGTTTGTTAGGTTGTTCTTCTTTGCTACCCTCTTCTTTGGATGAAACTTTACCTGCATTTACTGAAACAAAGACGATCTAAGTTGCGCAAACATCATGAGAAAAAAAGAGAGTGAGCATCTTAATGCAGTCTCTGCAATCTCGCAATGGATTAATGGGTAGAATTTATATTCTGTATGTATCTCCAGTATTATCGATGCTTGATTTATTGAGTTTAAACCAATAGCTCTCTTTCTCTCAGCTGTTTCATATATTCTGTTCTATGCAATAAGTCTGAATATATGTTTCTAGTTAAACTTTCTGTCATTGTCAGCCTTCAGTTAAGAATTAGTACCTTAGGTCCTTAGGTGCTGATGTACATTGCAATATTTTTTGACAAAAAGTTAAAAATAGTGATGCTCATGCCTACCTTCATAATTGTCAGTTTTTGTGTTGGTTCTTCTTGAATATTCTGTATTTGATACCAATTCCACTTTATAATACCCTTTAGTTGAATATATAACATTATCTAGCTTCTCTTCCCTAAGGTCTGATGTAACTGTGAGATTTTGATGTTTTCTCAAAACCCAGATGAACCAGAAACATTAATTATGGATGAAATAAATTGTGTTTATCTTAAAATTTGTTCGTAACTTGCTTTATGACTGTTGACTAGTAATCCTTTTTTTTTTTTTTTTCCTGGGTAATCTGGTTAATAGTGATAGTTAAATCTGGTTTTGAGAAATTATTCCAGATAAACGATAAATGCAACAAGTAAAACTAATATGATTCATTGAAGCAAATAATTTACTATTCACCATGATTCACAATTGAACACTGTCAAATTTGGGATAAAAAAAACATATACAACCCATCAACTGCCTTTCAAACATATTGGCAGATGAAAGGGGGGAGATTTTTCTTTTAATTATCTGCTGAGAAATTAGGGAAGTTCCTCGTAGTTGTCTGGCTGGATGAAGATGCAGTGGTAGACAAGAGCTGCGATTGAGGAACCGATGAATGGGCCGAGCCAGTAGACCCAGTGGTTGTTCCATGACCAGCTGACAACAGCAGGGCCAAAGGACACTGCAGGGTTCATGGATGCACCGTCAAAGGCACCACCAGCCAAGATGTTGGCTCCAACAATGAGACCAATGGCCAAGGGGGCAATGATGCCAATGTCACCCTTCTTGGGGTCAATAGCAGTGGCATAGACTGTGTAGACAAGTCCGAAGGTCATCACGATCTCAAAGACAAGGGCATTCCAGACAGTCACTCCGGAAGATAGAGCAAATGCAGAGGTTGGCTGATAACAGGAAACGATCAGTTCAGGTTAGTTGTTAAGCATTAGACCTATAAACATTATATGAGTTGATCAACAAAATGAAAGATTACGATGACTGAACCAATCTAGAGACTCTAGACTACCTATCTGGTAAAAAAGACTTTTTTCAGAACACCCTCGGGATGGGGCAGGGGCAGGGGAGGGGCGTAGGGAGTTGTAGTGAGGAATACTTGAAGTAGAACTACATGAAAGGAATACTAGGGATTCATGTTTAATTACCAGTCCACCAGTGGAGAAGTTGAGGAGGAGGCAAGCAACCACGGCACCAAGGCACTGAGCGATCCAGTATAGGATAGTGCAAAAGAAGGAAATTCTACCACCAAGGAAAGCACCAAGGGTGACAGCAGGGTTGACGTGACCACCAGAGATGTTAGCACCCACTGATACGGCCACAAATAGTGCGAAACCATGAGACAATGCAGCAGCTACCAGCCCAGCGGGGGATGCAGGACCATCACCTGTAAGCTTGCCTGTGTCCCAAAACATAATCAATTAGTTCTTTTACCAGCTAAAGTAGTTGACGTTATATAATTCGCATAAAGTAAGTTAAAGATCATGGATTAGTGAAACTTACCAAATGCCATGCCAGAGCCTTCTCCAGCAAAAACAAAAATAAGCATGGAGATAAACTCAGCCAATGCAGCCTTGAGGGCAGCAGGCTTTGTGGCCTCGGCCGGTGATCCGAAATCGATTCTAGGGATTGCCATTCTTGAAATGCTAGTTAAACTCTTTAACAGCTTTTACTTGCTATTAAGTTCTTCTTAGCTCTGTGGTGCATTAGACTGCTTTAGGACTGTATTTATATAGCTGTCATATAAAGGTTTTGAAGAGAAAACTAGGCTCTCCCTCTTTATAATTTTTATTTTTTTTTATAAAAATTTTAAAATTCTAATTTTTTGTAATATAAAAATTAAAAAAAGAAATGTGGGTTTGAAGTCAATGGATGGAGGGAGGGGGTGGCTTGATGTTTTTGCCCCTTTGGGCAGGGAAAATAGTCGGAGCCTCCGGATTGCTCCCGTTTCGCCACGTGGCATATAGATATGATCAAACGGTGGATGTCACTGTTGATCACCGGCCAAAAGTAGTGGTGATGGGTCCATCAATGATTGATCAAGTCTTTACATGTACAGGCCAATTAAGATTAGTTTATAAACTTAACAGTTTAATGTGTGATTAGAGGAGTGGTTAGGTGAGTTGGCTTGCCTCCACTTCGTTGTTTTTAATCTTATATTCTTATGTCATTCTGATTATTTTGATTAGTGATAATAATTAAGTGCTTGTTTTTTTGTGTAATAGAGTATATTAATTTCTTGTTTAGTGGAGAATTGTAGATTATTAAAGTGCTTAATTAAATTGAAGTTAATAATGGAGAAAACTCCTCATGTTTAAATCATCTATCCTCCAACCAAATTAGTTCGCGGCTCTTATATGCGCGGAAGAGATTAGTAAATTATCATATGTACTTCCCTTTATTTCATATTAGTATAGAACAGTTTTAAATAAAAACATGATCTTCAATGATGGACAATTTATAAACATGTGATTTTCTATTTACGAGTCAAGAGTTTAAGAGCGTTTTTTGAGATTTAAGACGTGGAGTTGTCTATCTGTGGTACTCTTAACCTTTTTCTTTTCTTATAGGTGATTATTATTGTTATCGTTATCGTTATGTCAACATTTTTGAATATCTATCCGTATTGTCAGTATTTTGCCTTGTCATCTCTCCCTGCTCTTTACAATGATCCTATCAAAAACAAGCACTGTAGGCTTCCCAAATTTCTGTCTCTACTTTACATCTCCAGTCTTCGGGGAGCTCTCGTATTTTTATATACAGAGTAGAAGTGGGTTCTTATTTATTGGACATAAGTAACATCTTACAATTGAAAGGGACTTTAAGTACTTAGTTAATTGGTATTTGGTTGGTGAAAACGTCATATGCTGATTACTGTGAATATATTCAACGATTTCATGTTCTTGCTCCTTTGATCCTAATCTTGTGCTATAGTGTACATTTGTGTAGAACTTTCAATATCAAGCGAGTAGCAAGATAAATCAAAGGTATCAAATGTGTTGTTCGGATGAAGTTATTCTTAAAATTGAGTCAGGTTATATTCAAGTTTGTTATCACTTAACCATCAAAAATCATAGTTCGATAAACTATCCAATATTAATTTAATTAGTCATATTAATTGATGATCTAATGCGAAACAAATAATTCAACTCGAAGTGCAATTCAATATTACATCACATAATTAGATGCATATCTCCGAGTTTAAACAAAAAGGGACTTATCGATAAGCCGAATTCATATCTTCTTATCCAAAAATATACTCCAAGGCATTCATAATTCTCTACTAAGGAAGGCTGCAATTAGAAGTCATACCCATGTGTATCCTACAATTTTGCAAAATATATTATCCTCCAAAAATGTTAGTCTTAGCCATAGTTTTGGATGAACAAAGACTCAGTGAGTTGTAACTTAATAAAAAAATTGATAAGTAAACTTTTGCCAGAAGAGAATTACAAGGACTTGTACGCGACAATTAAGATAAATGTATAAGCTTATGGCATATGCTTTGTTTGTGGAAATGGAACCTACCATTTGTCATTTTCAGCTTCAATTATTCTTATATTTAGTGATTTGATCATAGAGAATATAATATGACTTCATGAATTTAATACACTATTATGCCATTAGTATTTATCTTGCTATAGAATATTATTGCTCCCTTTGTAGAAATTTTTGTTTAGTTTAATGTTTTGTTCTTATCTCTAAATAATTTGATCAACATCTATGTCAAACAAGTAAAGTTTAAGCTTCTTAGACATGTAATTATTCTATTTCAACTTTAGAATCTTAAAAAAAAAAAAAAAAAGAAGATCAAAATTTGTATGTCATGGTGACATAACTCTTATGGAACATGTGGGTTTGTTAATTTTTCAATATGAGGTAACTTGAGCATGTGTGATTACAAAGGTTAACGTTTTGAATTTGAATCCTTTCCGGAAAAATTTCTTAGTTCTAAAATGATTTTTTTTTTTTTTCTTTTGAATTTAAAATAACCTTTTATATGAAGTTGTAAGCTCAGAAATCACTATTGAAAACACCTTGAATACACCTAAGTGACTTTAAGGAACTACGAGTGTAAGCCCAAAAAGAAAGGAGCTATAGCCCAGATATATCTATAAGCCCAAATATCTAGTCAAAGGCTAAGATTAAGAAAAATTTAAAATAAAGGCTTAAATTCGAAGGCTGAATACTTAGACCATCTGGACCAAGTATAAAAAGGTCCACATAAATATTTCTCTAATATGGGCCTTATTGTTGGCAGATGCTCTAGGCTTTAATTTGACTTTTAACTTTTTGAATCCTCTGCATTTTGAACCACTATGGCACAAATGCACAATCCATTAAAATTGTAAACAATCTGATGAAACGAAAAATTGAACCCCCTCACCCTTAGGTCCTCCACGAGGCCTCGATGATAGTCTGAGTGCTCGTTTGGTTTACATACGATTTAGATTTTAATGGAGTTACTTTTGTACATGTCTTATGAAGGATCCGAAGATTGAAATTGTGACTTTATCGAAGGAGGGCGCGTATGTCGTTATATGGGAATTTCAACTTTTCAAGTCTCATTTCCTCCATTTTATCTTTTTAATGTCAACCAAATAAAAATGTCACACTTGCAATTTTTGTGACAATTCACCTCCCCCTCTATTGCAAACACTGATAGTACATAAGATGCATTGGCGATTACTAGGTTGTTAGCTTAGGGGGTTATTAGATGACAATAACAGATAAAGATTTATAGGTAATCTTGTAAATTAAACTTCATAATCAAATGTGTATTTTTCTTTATTAACTTTCATTGTTACCATCCAATTTTTTAATTCTAAAGTGGTGAGGAATGTATGCAAAATTGCAAATTAAAATTTAATGGAGCTTCTTGTCCAAAATTTACAAAGTATAAGTCGATCAATAATGACCCAAACTTAGTTGGATTAGATTAAATATATACACATACCTTATCCAATAGTAATACTCACATGGGACATCTTTTTGTACCATCTTTGAGCCTTTGACAAAAGG